TTGCACACCATTCTTTGTAAACCCTAGAAATGGTTGTGCGTGAAAATCCCAGTAACTGAGCAGATTGTGAAATACTCAGACCGGCCCATCTGGCACCAACAACCATGCCTGTGGCTTGGGGGTAGAATCTCCTCCTCAGCCTCTCAGTCCCAGCCATAAAGCTTTGGAAGCATCTACCTGAGTGCACGTCAAAACTAGCTAATAAATCCCATACCCCCCCCAACAAAAATCATGTTTCCCCCTAAATGGGTCGAGATCTCACCCCCCCCCAGCATTCAAACCGAAGTTAAGCCCTTGTGAGTGTAGCCACTGGAACGCTTTATCGCTCGGCTGGTGAGTGTCTTTCATGAAGCTTGCTGCTCTGGACCTACATTGTTGGACATCATTTCATTTCAATGTATCAAACAGAAAGTACAATCAACTGGAAGAACAAACCCCCCCGCCATTGTGTTACGTCGTTTCTAATGAATAATATATGCAAATACACGCTAATCTGCACAGTAGTACCGTTATACCTAATACCATCTATATAAACTGCTGTAAGTAACTGTGGATGAAGTACTGTGGATGTAAAAAATGCAACTTTACGGTTATGGAATATACTAACATAAAAGAAGCAATAAAGACAATAATACCCAAGGCTAAGCGTCTAAAAACAGACGACTGATAAAAAGAATAAACTAAACAACATTTACAAAGGTCTTGTGTAGTCTTGCTCAGTAATGATAGGTCTGTATCTATGGAGTAGTCCTTATGTCAAAACCCTTTTAAGGTTCAAAAATAATGGTCTCTACAGAACTGACGTTCAGAAATCTGGTTTCGAAGAAAATCAACGCGCAATGGTAAAGGCTTAAATGTCACGCTGAGTTATAATAGGAGATAGGAATGCGCACACAATAGCTTCTAGCTTTAGGTGTCACCCCAAAACCTATAAATGCACCCTGCACTCACCACTCTGCCATTCCCAGCACCCTCAACGGGGATCAACCTTACGATAGGCAGCGCATGCATTTGTTTCTAAACATCTCTTGATTTTTATTGGTTTGGAAACGGGGGTTCTGCATACGAGTCACTCGTCCGCATTCCGGGAATTGTCGCCTGAGTTCAAGGTCAGTGCAACAAGTGCCTCTGCTGAGCGAAAATGCACAGGTCTTTTGTCAAACTGTAACATCTCCTGCATGTTAATACTCTATGTATATGTCTATATTTCTTTTTTAAATTCGTATTTACATGGCTAAAGAAATCAGCAAATGCTTTGGGGTACAGTGTATGATATAAAAATGGCAAAAGTTTGCGCTTAATATGTCCAGTTCTGACACTTGGGATTCTTTATCACTCGCAACGTACGTAAATCAGTGCTGCTTTTTACATACAGCCCACAGTTAAGGCTGTGGGAGGAAGGCATTTCACTGATGAGCCCAGGAGGTCACCGGAGGTTGTAACAGACGTGGGGAGAACAAATGTTGGATCTAAAATAGGAACACGGCCGCATGGTGCAGATGACTAGGGTCGAGTTTGAAGCCATTGCCCTATTTAAGTAGAGGCGGGTATTGTTACGGCCTACCTAGAGATCAATATTTAATTGCCCTTGGTTGGCAGAAAGGACATGTATATTCCGCTGGGATCGAGGCTGTTGAATATAGGCCTAATTTATTAATATAATTGAGGCAGGCATACTAAAAGGAGCATTTGCATGATATATTGTAAAACTGCGCTATTTAATTTGGAAAGGTTAGTAAATAATTCTAAATCACTTTTGAAGTAAATTACAAACGGTGACTTATTATGATGATTAAGGAGTTTATAATAGTTTGACGCGGAGCTTCCTATGAGTGTGATATATCATACTGAAAACTTACATTGGCAGTAGCCCCATCGTATAGAAATAATTTACCTTTAAAAAAACGTCTACATGTGGAATTCCTTCATAAATTGAAATGTACCAGTAACAGCAAACCACCTTCAGTTTGAAAGTTGTCTTTAAAGTATTTGTTTGTGTTTGTGTGTCTGTGTGTGGGGGTTGTATTTTGTTTGGTTGCTTATAGTTAAGGTTAGAGCTGGGTAGGGGTTAAGTTTGTCATTGTTGGGATTATGGTTTTGCCCATAGAAATGAATGGACGATCCCCACAGAAGATATGAGTACAAGTGTGTGTGCACGCGCGCGTGCGCGTGTGTGTGAATTATGTTTATGGGGGACCAAATGTCCCCCACAATGTAATAAAAGCCTGTTATTTTGACGTTGTAGGGACCATTTTTGAGGTCCCCACAAAGATCTGTAAATGTAATCAAAAACAAAAAATGCCAAAACACTTTTTGTATTTTGTTTGGTTGCTTATGGTTAAGGTTAGGGCTGGGTAGGGGTTAAGGTTGTCATGTTGGGATTAGAGTTTTCCCCATAGAAATGAATGGACAGTCCCCACAGAGATATAATTACAAACCTGTCTGTCTGTGTGTGTGTGTGTGTGTGTGTGTGTGTGTGCGTGTGTGGGTATGTGTGTGGGAGGGTGGGTGGGTTGCATACAAGTATCTTGGATCTAGCATTTTCTTGGTTCTTGTCATCACTGGTGGTGTGCGTCCTGCTTTCCCAGTTTTTAAGCAAATATAAATAGACAAAGCTTTTACTTTGCTGTTGTTTTTCTAACTATGGGTGGCTGAGCCTAACTGAGTTATTCAGTATTGAGGAAAGGATGCTAACATGCATTTGAGTTGTGTAGCTCTGCTTGCTTGCAGGTTTTAAGAGTTTTATTACTATTATTTTTTGCTTTTGGTATTCACCAGATTCTTCCTGGATCATCACAGTTAATGTTCTGCAATGGGGGTCAAGGCCGCTCTACCTAGATATGAGATCTACCTCTACACCGCTGTGCTCTGCATGGCTCTGCTTTGGACTGCAAGCTGGATTTTTGAGGTCTCCAGAGGTGAGGAGGGTAGCCCAGCAAGTTTTCAAATCATATTACATGTGTACGTATAGTCAAATATTGATGGCTTCCTACCACAACTTATTTTAAAATTGTCTCTGAGAGTGTGTTGTGGCATTTATGAAAAATGAGAACAACATGACTGAACAGTATATTATTGATAAAATACTGTCGGTTTTGAGCAGTCATGGAGAATGCAGATAGCAGACACTCCTATATTCGGTTAGAAGAAACGCCCATCCACACACAAATTCAGAAAGAAGGTATCAGTTTTCTGGAGAGATAGCATAAAGCTGTCATTTAAACAGTCACCTTAAAGCTCATATCTGGCTGTGTTGCTGATTGGCTGCCTCTGTAGGGTATAGGGTCTTGTACCTTAACCCTGCTCTGAATTAGTGGTTGGAAACAAGAACAAATGTTAATCATAATGGTCTTTTGACTTCATTGATATCTCTCTGTGTTTGGGAGCAATTTGTCTGTCTACACATCGAGTGATAACAAGATAATAAAAGCATTTTGTCAGGTAATATAAGTTCTCTATTGTTATATATCTGACAGTAAAGGCAGCAGAAGCTGGGTTCTTTAGTTTTCAGTTTTTGGAGACCCTTCCTGAGGGATACCAGGAGGTACAAAGTGACAATCATTTCCTTATAATGTAAGGTTTGTGAACTTTTGGACTGCGACTCAGACCTAATTAATCAACCAAGATAAAAGTTGGCCGCAGTTTTCACTGTAAACTCACCCCTTATCTTCCAGCTAATGTGAACAGAAAGACATTCAAAGCCAGTGTAAAGGATGGCTGGTACTACTTTGGGCGGAAGGTGGTGAGTCCTGCACCAGCATAACTGATATTTTAAAGATCATGTGACCTTACAGTACTCAATTCTTAGTGCTAACATAAACATTTTCTATAGCAAGAAATGTCTGAATGCAGTTTAGTTATGAAAAACTAACTCACTATTGCTAAATACTAATACTGTATTATAAATTCTACTATGCATGGAATAAAGACCATGATTTGGTCAGATTATAAATTAATAAAGATAAACCTGATCCTTTCTATACTAGTAACTAGACACTATTATTTTTAATACTCTGAGTTTCTTTGTGTGTTCGAATTTAGAATTCAGAAATGTTGCTAGCTAAACTTAGCCAAAATGACCAGAATATTTGTGAGAAATTAATTCAAGCTCAGTTACATCACCTTGACCCTTTGATGATGTCGCGTTCTGACATCTGCAGGACATGGCAGATACTGAGTGGGTCATGTGGTTCCTGAACTTCCGCTGCCACATTCTCTTTGCCTTGTCGGGTCATGTGATCTTCGCCAAGATCTGCTCAATGCTGGCCCCGAAGGTACTTTCTGGGTTCTGTCCGATGAGTTTGGCAAGGGTAGCTGGTGATTCTCTTCCTCTCATTCTGAAATACAGCATAGATAGGCAGTGCTTAAAACTTAGTGCTCTCTGCTAAGAATAATTTGGTGATGTAGGGTGCCAGGCTAATTAAAACAGCACGATGGTAAATATTTGACTCATCATTCATGGTGTGCATTGGCAATCTTTATGATTTAATTGAGAATATATTAAGATATTTCAGCTTTAATTAATTGATGGATATTCCTATTATAATAAAATATTACATTTTACACGTAGTATTTAAGCACATACATACTTCATTACAGTGCAACTTCTACAGTAAAGTTTGCAAAAGCCAATCAATCTGCGGTGATGGAATAACAAAATTTGATCAAGCATAGTGCCCAATGTGATTGCCCTGAGTCACTCCTAAGCAAAGAACAATGTGCACAACACTGAATAGAAACCCACACTGCAGGTGTGACTGGGCTTATAAACGGATGGCTGAGCATCACCAAAACAGTGATCATTTCCCCCACAGCACAGATCCATAATGTATACGGCGTATGGGATGATGGCGATTTTTACCAGCATGGGCTGGACCTACGTCACTCTGGTATTATCCCACTGCGTGCTGCTTTACAGCATCTCACTAGTCAAGATCAAGTGGCTCTGCTTCGTGGCCGGACTCACCAGCCTGGCCACCTTCAAGATAGAGCCCTTTGTCACCTGGCAGGTGAGTCATACGGCTGTACTGAGAAAGGAACCTGGCCTGAAATTGGGCGGAACACAGTCTTAAGCCATGCTAAGGAATATGGGCTTGACGTGCAGGGACACAAACTCAGGGGCGGGGCCACGGGGGCACTGGCCCCAGCTGAAAGCTGATTGGCCTCCAGAGTGCCTCCTCCCTTGTCACTCACCAATTCAAAGCATATCATTGGCTAATGATAAGGTTGGCACCTCTGTGTGAATTGTACCCCTTCTTATGCCCCCTTTAAAATCCTACAATAACCCCGGTTGGATTAGCACAGGCCTGGGATCATACTGAGGAAGATAGTCTTTGGCCATGATAAGGAATATGGGCCTGAACTGGAGGAGCACCAACTTGGCTCACTCAAAAAACTTCTCAGAATGTTTTGGTTCTATGATCAAGGCTAGAACAGGAATATTGCTTCATAACAAGTAATATGGAATTACACAAAGTTACAGAACCACGTTTCATAGCTTGCAGAGACATCTCACCTACATTCTGGACATCCTCAGTCATTAGTGTAAAATGGGACATGGAAAATTAAATATCTTCTGTTCTTACTCTTGCATGGTTCATAATGTCCAGTATTATGGTATTATTTCCTGCATTGATTCCTTATACACACCTTTCAGGATTCTTCCAGTCGCACACAATAGCTGTTGGTCTTACGTGTTTCTGTCAGGAGGGTTTCGTGACTGGAAGCTTTCAGCTTCAGGGGCTCCTCTTCTACGGAGGCTGTGGCTTCACCATCATGCGATGCATGAGCTTCGCCCTGGAGAACTGCGAGAAGAACGAGGGGAACTACAGTTTCCTGGAACTGCTGAAATACAACTTCTACCTCCCGTTCTTCTACTTTGGACCTGTCATGACTTTCGATAAATTCCACGTACAGGTGAATATGTTGTTCACGGCTAAGTTAGAAGCACATTAAAGTTTCTTTACATGGAACTTATGCTGCCTTCCGAAGCCGGTTCTAGCTCACCATGACTGGAGTCTGCAGACTCTTTGTATGGTTTCCTTCTACAGTCCAAACACTTGACATTGAGGTTGGCTGGTGATTTTAGCACTTAGCATGTCACACATGTATCTCTCTTGCATCCTGAAATATCACTGTGTGAATAACAATACAGTGGATCCCCCGTATCCATGGTTCCAGGTTAATTGCAGCCCCAAACGAGTACAGGCTGTAATATGGTGAAATCTGCCTGCCCAGTCACGCCCAGCACGTGACTCTCCCCCCTTTGGCTCCATACCCACACTTCCCAGCAGGACTCTCATCCAGTCTACCACTCACCTTCTCGCTGGTCACATTCCTTGCTGTGTAATTGCAGTGTCTGTATTGCATAAAAAGTGCATAAAAAGCATGAGGGATTTTCATTCCTCTGTCATCCCATGACTCATGATATTTTTTCATTACTCTATCATCTTTTGAGAATTATGCTAAAACATCAGAATCCCTTTCATCCGAGAGAGAGAGAGAGCAGTACTGTATAGTAATGCACAATGTAATTTATTATTATTGTATTTATTGTTAGTAATCACTTACTGCGTGTACTTTATCAATTAACATGTATCATATGTATATACACAAAAATCGCATTATATATGTGGATGATTCGCTATTATCCATGGTTTCGGCTATCCGACGAAGGTCTTGGAACGTATCACCCTCGGATACGGGGGGGCTAATGTACACTACTTTAGACTCATTGAGGCTGTGATATAGTTGCACTTGCACCTGTGTCTCTTGTCAAATGTTAATTTTAAGGTGCGAATTAAGAAATCAGGCTTCTATATTCCTCCCGCACAGGTGAACAATCCCGACTTGATCCGAAAGGAGAGGGAGATGTGGAACATCATCGCTTGGGCCGTGGGCCACCTCGGGATCATCATCACGGTGGACGTCTTGTTTCACTTCATGTATATTTTGACAATACCTTCTGACTTGAAGCTGGTGAAGCAGCTCACAGACTGGACACTAGGTGAACAAACAATGCCTCGATGACTTAAGATCCATCCATCTTTTAACTCCTTATCTTAGTCAGTGGTGGTGTTACCAGGATTCCATCCTGGGCTGGGCATTTGGGTATGTTAGGTGGGCACCAGTGCTCAATTTGGGTCTGAGGTCTTGTGGAGCGGGGTTTCCTTCACAATGATAAAAGAGTTCTGTTAAAAGCACTTATGATTGGTTAAATTTACTCTGTCATTGCCCACCCAAAGCCATGCCCAGGCTGGTCAGGGTCACATGGGTACAGGAGCCTATCTAAGGAGGCCCCGGGAATGTGGGAGGGGTATATGCTTGATAGGATGCCAGGGTGCAGATATACTCAGGCTTACACACAATCATATAGTATGGGCTATTTTATCAGGCTAATTAGGGGGAAGTCAGAGTACTTGGACGAAACCTGTGCAGCACAGGGAGAGGATGGAAATTCCACCCATATACAAAGAGGAGGCGGGATTAAAACCCCCCAACAGTGAAGTGTGAGGCCACAGGGCTACACCCCAAGTTCCCATGCACCCGGCTTCCTTATGACAGTCTATAAGACGCGTGGTTTCTGCTTGGTTATGCCCACAGCTGGACTGGCCTACTCTAACTTGGTGTTTGACTGGGTGAAAGCCACAGTGATGTTTGGGGTTATAAACACTGTCTCCAAGCTCGACCACCTGGATCCTCCAAAGCCGCCTAAATGCATCACCATGCTCTACGTCTTCGCTGAAACGTGAGATACTACAATTTATCCCTTCATGTGTTTGTTATACCTTGCATTTTTAGCTAGTCTATTAATTACACATTTATAAATATAACTTTCCCAGACAAAAGTTTGGACACAAATACCCATAGAAAGGTTTATTTGTACTATTCTCTACATATTATAATAATTATAAAAACATTAAAACTATAAAATAACAGGTACGGAATTATGCACTAACCAAAAGTATGTGGGGGAGCAGGAGGTGGGATTGAAAAGGTTGCTGGCAGAGTGATTCCACTATTGGGCCCTTGAACAAAACCCTTAACCCCAATTGCTCCAGGAACCAGCTGCCCCTGCTGTCTCCTCTATGCCAGTCTCATGATGTGGCCTCCTGGGATGCTTTTCCAGCTGTCCTGAAGGAGGTCCTACATATATGCTGAGCACTCATTGGCTGTTCCTTCACTCTCTGGTCAGACTCCCCAAAAGCCATTTCTAATGTGTTAAGGTTAGGAGACCAGGTCATGTGAATCAACACCTAGCTTTGTAGACAGCTTGGCGTATCCAAACTTTTGACTGGCTATTTATATGAGGATTATTAAAGGACCACAAATTGGGCCACAAACCAGCTACTTGTTCTGTCAAATCAGTCATAGTCACCATTGATCCAACTTCAAATTGTAGTTAAGACTTTAAACACGCTTGATCAAATACACAATGAGTTCTGCAGACCGGTGAACTGGAGCAGGCCAATAGTGTTTGACTAGGCTGATGGCCTGAGCAGTGATGAGGCCTGTCTAACACTGAAATCACTACTCTTCCTACAGACACTTTGACAGAGGAATAAACGACTGGCTCTGCAAGTGAGTGCCCAGATTAGTGACATCACATTCCTGGTACGGTGTTTTGAAACCCGAGCTCATTCTCCTTATAAATACACCTCGTGTGCTGACTGGAAGATGTCAAGACTGTCTTTTAATTTTTATTAACTTCATTTTTTAACATTATTTTACACCATAGAGAGACACTTCCTTATTTTCTGTGCTTTAGCTATGTCAGACTGTAATTAAGTCTTCCAGCGATGTGTCAATACTTATCCGCAGGTATGTTTATGACTACTTGGGTGGAAACCATGACAATATCTGGAACGAGCTGGTGGCAACAGTTTGTACGTTTAGCGTCACGGCCCTGTGGTTGGGGCCCTGCCAGATTGTCTGTGTGTGGGCTTTCTTGAACTGCTTCGGCTTAAACTTTGAGTTTTGGCTGGCCAAGTTCTTCTCGCTGGAGCCCTTTGCTTCCATTGAGGTGAGGCAGGCCAGGAAGGCCTTGTGTATGGGGTCTATTTTTTAACACAGTTGGTGCCTGTTTACTGTGTCCAAAGTCTTCAACTAACTGTCACATTGACAGCTCTCCAAACCGTACCTGCCTGAGATGTGTGAACACGTATTTTAACAACACGTTTAAATCCATTCCATTTGTATCCATAATGAACGAGCAGTGGTGTGTTCCTCATGTTGTGCGGATTCCATATTAACAGTGAACACCACAATCAAAAAAACGCTGCTCTGCATAATGAAACATTTCCTAACGTTTCCTAACTAACGCCATTGTCCTTCAATTACTACCTTACGTACTGCATGTGTGTCTGGTTTATTTATGAGTAATTCAAGTCATTATTGTAATGGATGAACTGCAGTTCTGACTTTCTGCCAACAGATGGCAATGTCTGAGGCCATGTCACGCAGGATCAGGGCTGTGTTTAATGCCTTTAACTTCTGGGCTATCATCCTGTATAATGTTCTAGCCCTGAACAGTCTCGATTTCGCCCGGCTGGTTGCCAGAAGGCTTCTTCTTAGAGGTAAGACAGCTGTGGTCCCCAAAATTTAGTCCTTATCTTGTCTGTAAAACAAAAACAGCATATTGATATTGTTTAACCCTGAACTGAGGAATTGTCAGTGTTTAAGGCAGACTGCATTGATGCGTGTTGTGGAAAAAGGAAACCTAAATTACAATTACACTAATTACCAACAAGAAAATACTATATTTACCTGTAACTGAAATTTATAAAAGTCATAACAGGTCTGAAGTAGAAGAAGTAGAGGTAGAAGTTCAGTACCAGTTGGAAATCTGGACAGACCTGCTTTTAATGCATTTGTCTCTATTTTAGCTATCTTATTCACCTTATAGTAAGAGGCTATGAGGCAATGAAGTAATACATATCAGATACTGCAATGACCAAGAGAAGTGTTCAACATCTCAAAATTTTCTCAAATTTTAGACTCTTCAAAATAGCCCCCTTATGCTTTGATGAAAGCACTGCAGACTCTTGGCATTCTTTCATTCAGCTTCCAGATGTCTTACTTACCTAGATATCTTGTTGGATTTAAGGTAATCTGGGCTAAATGGAAGTGAATGTAGATAAAGTCTATTTAAACTGGGTTACCTTAAATCTGACATTATCTGGCTAAGCAAGAAATCCAGCTTCAGGCCCCGGAATGCTTCTCCAACAGTCAGGGGCGCCGTAAGGGGGAGGAAAGCTAGGACGATTCCAAGGGCCCCTGAGTGACAGGGGCCCTAAAAAATTAGGAAAATAACTGGATTGGTTTGGACTGGGGGGCCTAATATGATATGCTTTCATGGGGCCCAAAATCTCTAGCAACGCCCCTGCCAACAGTCCTGAAGAAGTTTCCACAAGATCTGGACAAAAGTTGCCTGCCTTTCTCTTACTCTTGTGGGATTGTGGAAGCCAGGTCACCTCTCTCAGCACTCCAACTCTTTCCTTGTTCACAACATAATACTTACTACTGGGAGTTAATAAAGTATCGATTATTACTCAACCTCAAGGTGTGCTTTAGGTCATTATCTTGTCGAAAAACAAATGATTTTCAGGTGCATCCAGACTTTGGACTGGTACTGTAAGTGAGCAGTGAAACTTCATTATTTCTGGTTTTTATGTTGTTATGTTCCTTATAAAAAGGTGATAGCTTGGTTTTATGGATGGTGATTTTTTTAGCCCTTGCTGACCCAGGCAGGTGCTCACAGTGTCCTTTCCCCTGCAGGTTTTCCTCTGTCCACACTGTCTGTGCTGATCGTCACATACTGCGGAATACAGCTAATCAAGGAGCGTGAGAGGAAGCAGGCCCTGCTTCTGGACCCCGATCCCGTGCTGACCCCAGAACCCACCCCGATCCCCGCCTCTACCCCCTCGCCTACCACAACACCCACACCTTCACCCAAAGCTGTGGCAGTGGATGCCCCAGGAAAGGAGGATGCGGGGAAGGAAAAGGCGGAGTAAAGTTTACCATAACGACAAGGCTCACTAAACCTGCATCTATAATTTGTGGTTTATGTCTGGGAGTTACCAGGAAGTCTCAGTCAAGCTGTGTCGGGCTGTACACCATGTTTCTGAAGAGGAAATGTCAAAGCAGTTCTGAAGTGTAAATCGAACTGGTACAGAAGTTTCATACCCCAGTAAATGTTTTTATTATTAAAGGAAAATACTCAGAGTGCATGGTTTAACTATGTAGGGAATTCTGTTAAATAAATAATTCTGTTAAATAAGTATTCTGTCAAATAATACAATGCAAGATTTGCACCTAATTTTCATTTAGGAAAAAAATATAAAAATTTTTATTAAACAATCTCACAATTGTTTTTGGATAATTTTCTGTTAAAGGTTTTAACGTTAAATATTCAGTGAAAAACGTGTCATGCCTTGATAATACTAAATTTATTAATTTCTTACAGACCACAAGGTTTGGTTTTCTTATGTGCCAAATGATACAGTTTATGTATAAAATGTCAAAAGAATATATTGCTTCCACTTTACAGACATCTTTTTTTCTTAATTGTAATGTTGCATTGAATTATTTTTGTCATTTTCGCTTTGTTAGCATATCGCAGAATTAAGATATGACATATATGAACCTGCTATAATAAATTTAGATTTGGACTTGGCCTTGTATGTTTCTGGGTAAAGCAGCACAATTGAGAGTGAAGCTGAAGATGTAATTCTGTTATTTCTGCTTTCACACAACTCAGTGTCTGTCAAAGCAGAGATTAAGGGGTCCGATCCACCGTCATTCCTTTGCAGTGGGATAACAATGCATAGACCAAACTCCCTTTGACACTGCAGCCAATTTTAGAGACTGAAAGATGATAGACCTGCTAAAAATATGAATGAGCCACCCCAAACTCCTCCACTGCACCCTACTCTGTCTTAAATCCAAAATGGTAGAAGAGTGATCTGAAGCAGTGCTTCAGGAAAAAATTATATCAGACTGGAGGTAACTTCATCAATATTCCTGACCTGAAGGTGGCTTCTGCCTGGCAACAGTCTTCGTAAAAATACAGTACTCATTCAATATCTTACTCAGGGCCTAGTCCTTATAAACATTACATTAAATATTTCCATTTTAAGAAATAGAAAAATGACAAGAATCAATATTATACCCCAGCTTTAAAAAGAAAAGTCTATAAACCTAATTTATAATGAGCTCATACCTCCAGTTATTTTTCAGGTATTCCTGTGAACAACGTGAGGTTACCAAACTAGGAGCTAATTAAGATGTCACAAATGTCACAGCAGCTAAAATCTAGATTAATGTGTGAGTGAGAAAGAAAATATTGGATGGATGAAGGATCCTGTTTGCTCTTCATTTTAAATATCTGAAAATGAAGTATCGTACTAAAGTTGAAGTCAACAATAATTATTAGCCATTTGCTTAAACGGGTTAAAATAAAAATGTGTCTCATACATACGTAAGAAAAGTAATGTTGTATTTCCTGGGGTGAAAAAATTGATTGCAACAAATTATGAGCACTACAATATAAATGATTATACCAACATAATCTGATGATTTGTATTATTGTCATATACATTCAGGCATAAGAATTTTTTTTTGATTGAGTTCCAAGATGACGTTGCATTGACTCATCAGCCCAAAAGGGGGTCCTGCTCTTTGCGGACAGAGATCTCACTCAAGGTCTCATGTCCTGACCTGATGACTGCGGTATGCCCCCCCCCCTCCCTCCCTCCCTCAGCTGTCCACAGGGTCAGGCTACTGTCGAGAGTGTTTTTTTCCCCAGGGCTGGGGGGGATTGTGTTTCGCATGCACTATTATAGATTCTTCGTCTTTGTACAAGTTGAGCCTAAAAATAGGCCCCTGTTGGACTTTGAAGGGTTGAAGCAGCTGATGAAGCTAGCAGCAGTGGATTCCGGGGCTTGGTTTCGGCATGGATAAGGCTGCTCTTTTTCACATAGGCTCTGAATGAGTAGGTCAACCCCAGAGAAGGGATCTTCTCTAGTCTCGCGAATATACACCGGGTAACGATGGCCACACCAATAGACCCCCTAGAGGAGCCCCGGATATATCAGCAGACGTTACTGCAAGATGGCCTCTACGATCTTCTGGAGAATGACAAGCTGGTGGACTGTGTTTTAAAGATCAAAGACAAGGAGTTCCCATGCCACCGGTTGGTGCTGGCAGCCTGCAGTTCTTTCTTCAGGGCCATATTTGTGTCGGACCTTGAAGAGAGCAAGAAGCGGGAGATTGTGCTGAACGATGTGGAGCCAGGTGTCATGGGCATAATCCTCAAGTACATCTATACTTCCAGCATCAACGTGACGGAGCAAAATGTCCAGGATATCTTCATGGTTGCCAACATGTTCCAGATACCCTCCGTCTTCACTATCTGCATCTCATTCCTCCAGAAGAGGCTCGGTCTCAGCAACTGCCTGGCCATATTCCGACTGGGTCTGATGCTGGATTGTCCACGTTTGGCTCTCTCCGCCCGGGATTACATCTCTGACCACTTCCAGCTGATTTCGCAAGACCAAGACTTTCAACAATTAAGTGCTAGTGAGCTGGCTGCCATCATCACCTGCGATTCTCTCAACGTGGAGAGCGAAGAGGTGGTCTTTGAGACTTTGCTGAAGTGGGTGGACCACAGCAAGGACACCAGGCTCAAGGACCTGCCCGACTTGGTGGACTGCATTCGCTTTCGACTCATCTCGCCCGACTACTTCGCCGAGAAGGTGGAGAAGAATGAATGGATGAAGTCCAACGAGAAGATTGCAGAGAAGCTACAGCTGGTCAAGGACGCTTATCAGGGAAAGCTTCCAGAAGTCAACAAGAGTGAGAAGAAAAAATCAGATGTGGATGAAGCAGAGGGAGGAGAGGACAAAGAGCAGGAAGAGGAGGACTTACTTCCGGGGATCCTGAATGACAACCTACGTTTTGGCATGTTCCACAAAGATTTGATATTCATGATTAGTGAAACGGGAACAATAGCTTACGACCCCATAGGAAACGACTGCTTCGTGGCATCTCTGTCAACTCAAATTCCCAAGAACCATTCTAGCATAGTGACCAAGGAGAACCAGATCTTTGTGGCTGGGGGACTTTTCTACAATGAGGAGAGCAAAGAGGAACCACTGAGTTCTTACTTCTTTCAGGTCAGTAACCAGGCCTATTACTCAGAAGCATTTAGGTTTGAATCATATTTAAAGATGACAATGAACAATGAACCATCTATAAATGACATAATTAACTTTTATTAATCATCTTCTACTTGAACCTACAATTTAGTAGCTTATTGTGTTACTTATGGAAAATTAATATCTGGATCTTTTTTACTAATTATATTTGTTTCGTAAGTTCAAGGTGATAGTATACCAAACTGAGATTTAAGAAATTAATTAAGTCAACTGTGACATAATGAGGTTTTTTAAATGTATAATGTATTATCATTTATGAATTGCTCTGTGTTTGGTCCTTTGTCATAAAAATAATGGAATATTCATGCTTAGGCATGGTTTTTATATATTGTGACCTTCATTTTAACTGGGTTTACGTCCCTGATTTCGTCCCTCTTCAGTTCGATCCTGTTGGCCAGGACTGGCTGGGGATGCCCCCTCTCCCCTCTGCACGGTGTTTGTTTGGGCTTGGTGAGGTGGAGAGCTCCATCTTTATTATTGGAGGCAAGGAACTGAAGGAGGGGGAGCGTACGCTGGACTCCGTAATGGTGTACAACAGACAGTGAGTAACCCAAACGCTCCTCTGTGGCCGAGGTCTTGGAGCATGTGCTACAGATCCCTCCAAATGCTTAGTGGTATTTACCCTATTCCAGTGTTTCACAACCCAGTCTTTGGGGACCCCCTGGAGTCCACGTTATATCAGGTAGTTGATGTTTCTGATTGGCTGGGAGTCAGGTGCATGCAAATACATGGACCGCCCGGGGGGGGGGTTAAGAGCTGGGTTGAGAAACACTGTCCTATTAAGCATCAATCAATCATCCATTACTGCTTATCCAACAGAGTTTGAGTGAACCTGGAACCTGTGGCCTGAAGGACAGGGCAAGAAGCAGAGGACAGTAAATGTGTTTGTTAGGATGATAAAGGGGAAAAACTTGGTCTATGGAAAGACAAAGAATGTAGGCTATTCATTTAGCTTAAAGCAGATTAGAGCTAAACAGCACATTTTATGTTATTGGATCGACTGCATCAGCAATAAACAGAACTGATAGTTTGCTATGTGATGCCAATTCTGAGTTAGACGAGGGATGTTCAGCCATACTCTCTTCAAGAGCCTAGCTCTAGTAAATAAGACACCCAAAACAAACATTTACTAAAGAACAGAATTACTTGCCATTAAATCACAACCAGAGCAACTGTCGTGGGCATAGTGTTAAGGTGGTGTGGTTTCTCTTAATTGTTGACTAACATATGATAGCCTTGGTCACACCACCAACATAACTGCACTCCAGTCTCCCCAGAAACATCAAATGTTAATGGTACCAGAGACTCATCTTAGTTACCAGCAATCGACAAGGTGATCTTAGAGTCACAGGTGCGAGAATCTGATCTGGGTCTCTTCAGGAAGAGGGTGAGGGTGTGTAGACAGCACTAACCAAACGCTGTTAAAATTCACTTAGGTCTTTCAAATGGGAAGATTCAGCAGCCCTTCCGTACTTGGTCTATGGCCATGGAACGATTTCCCATGATGGAATTGTATACGTAATAGGAGGAAAGTCTGATGACAAGTAAGTCTTCGGCCCAACATATCCTATTCCATAACTCTCACTCCTTTGTTATACTCAATGCTTTCCTCAATGCGGATCTATTAACTCAGTACATCTTTAAGAGAATACTGTGATTTCAAAAAGGCCTTGAATGCATCCACCTTCAGATAATTCACACCAGTTTTCTCTCATACCACAAAAAGAAGTTCTTTTCTTTCTACTTCCATCCTTGTGTTTCAGAATTCACTGTGATGGGGACACTCGCACTACACATCTCATTTATTTAGTATAAGCTTTTATCCAAAGTAATGTTTATTTTTAAAATAAAGCAGGATAGGCCAGTGCCTGGAGAGACTGGGTTATGGCTCCTTGCCATCACCCATAACACATCATGTTCCACATGTAGGAAGTGCCTAAGGAGGGTGTATGCGTACAGCGCCAAGACATCGAAGTGGAAGGAGCTGGCTCCGATGAAGACTGCTCGCTGCCTTTTTGGTGCCGCCGTCCACAAGGACAAGATCTACGTGGCGGCCGGGGTCACGGACTCAGGCCTCACTAGCACCATGGAAGTCTACGACATTTCTAAGAACAAGTGAGTAGGGTGTGGGTGCAAAGACTTTGATGGGTCAGATTAGCATAGCTAGCGTACAAGACCATAAACACTTTAATGACTAATACAAGTTTCTTCATACATCCATACATCCATCCAACTTAGTTTTTCCTCTGCCCAGTCTCTCTCCCAGCTTCCAACACACCTGTACCAGGTATTTGGTGTTCTTCATTCCTTGATCATTTGGTTCAAGTGTGCTTGGAGGGAGAAAAGATGTGGACAGTCTGGAAGTCCCAGAGGACTAAGTTGAAATATACTGATTTAATCATTTATCTTGCTCAAGGTCATGGGGGTAGCCCTGAGTTTCATGTTTACTGATAGCCAGTTAAATTTTAGCTGGACAGCATATTTCACAAGTAAAATTTGCATAAAAGTTTGACGAAACAAACATATTTTCAATAAAGACATCCTTTACTATTTCAGAAATCTTGACTAGCTGCACCATGCCAGCAAAGCCAGTAATTTCCTGGCAGATCGCCTGTAGGTATGTGAATCCCTTTCATAGCTTAACAAATGGGGCTCTTTCTGCACGCATCAGGTGGTCAGACTTTGTGGAGTTCCCCCAGGAACGCAGCTCACTCTGCCTGATCACACTGGCCGGCACTCTCTACGCTGTGGGGGGGTTTGCCATGAAGCCCAGCGACTCCAGCGACGAGCTCATTCCCACTGAGATCAACGACATCTGGAAGTGAGTCACGTGAGACCTGCAGTGTCACATGCTTGGTGCTAAGAATATAGTTTTATATAACCAAACCACACTGTCAGAAGTCAAATAAAAGAAGCAGGGAAATAATAAAAGTTACAGAAACTATTATAATTAATTATTACTATTACCACTACTACTACTATTATAAGGAAACATCTTAAAATAAAAATTAAATCCAAGGAAAAGTCAGGAATAAGAGGGGAACAACAACCAGATAGTACCACTTTACCTGAGACGACACAAATACTTAGTAGTAACTTGTACTGAAGTACAAATCATGAACAAATATAGTTGCTACTTAAGAAAATGTCATAATTCATTAATGATGAACAAACATGACATCGGCTTGTAACTAACACTTAGATTGTGGCTAATTAATATACAAGTAAAATAGCATAATGCTACTTTGTGTCTCATTAAGTAAAGTGCTACCAATTTTAAAATTCCACCGTTTTTAAGTAAGTAAATAAAAATCTTAAAAAGATATATAAATAGCTCATATTTTGTTATTCAGCAGAAAATTAATTCCCCCAATATGCTATTAACGATACTATTTCCACAGGTACGACGAGGGAGAACGGAAGTGGAACGGAATTCTGAGAAACATCCAATATGCGTCGGGAGCCACCATACTGGGCGTACGTCTGAATACGCTGCGTTTGACCAAAATGTAACGAAACAGCGCCCCCTGCTGATCGGCCAGGCCGTTTGCAGAGCGCTTTCCTTCACAGACTGTTCAATTCATACGACAAAAACACTGAATATTCACTGTAAGAAGAGCAACAGCAAAGATTATCGTATTCAACTATTATTTAGACCAGTTTAATATCCTACTGCGAAGGCTACCGTCGTCTTTCTAAAGAAGCAGTTGACCTACCTGGAAAACGTGACTCATGACGTACTGCTTATATATATCCATTAAATCGTTTTAATGTCAGGACAGTCAGATTTAATTTTGAAAGCAAACCGAAACCGAGCACTCATACCTGTCAGTCTGGTACCGAAAATGGCCCGGTTGCAGAACCACGGGAAAGATAGTTTGCAGTTAGCGATTCGGGATCCCATTGAATTTCTTTACAGTTCATTAACGTGTACATTAAACGATGGCATTTCGTTACTCGTGAATTGTGAATTCAGATGACGTCACCCCACCCCGAAATCTGCCGATATATTTTACCTTTTAATTTTCAAGGAAGGACGGATGGACGGTTAAGACAGACAGATAGAAATAGATAGATACTTAACCATATACTGTCTGATTTGTGAATTATTTCACTGTCCACAGTTCGTCTCCCAGTGATTTGATATGTGCGTGAGGCCAAAAGGGTGGAAAAACAGCAGCTTTAACAGTGGAAGCTTTTTTCCAAAACTCACTGCCAATCATTTAAAAATGCATTTGTGTTAAGCCAACATTAATTTGTGAAAAGTCACAAACATGTTTTAGCACATTTGATTATTTTTTGCACATTTCACTTCATTGAGCTCCAAAGCTGAGACCTAATACCAAAACAAGGACCAAACCAGGTTCATATTGACCAGTTTGATGTGAATTTTTCACAAATCAAATTCGGTTAGTCATAGGTCAGTGTACATATCAGGCCGGTACTTGGAAAATGGGCTGTTTTTATACTTAAAGCTTACTAACAATGAAAATACCCTCCTAAATCGCAATATCCATGTTTTTGACAAAACGTGATGGGAAAAAAATCTAATACATTAGCATACATATTGACCTTTGAGAAAATGTGCACAGATATTGATGAAATGAACGCAGAGTACGGACAGAAGGCTCCGTTCGTTTCCATATACAGTAAGTATTTAACGTTGAGCATAAAAGAGCCTCTAACCGCTGCTTCTTCCCTCCCTGGAGGCTTGTCTCTATGCAGCCGCGCTGGTGTGACGTGCATCCTTTGCTCCTGGCTAATCCACATACCAAAGACGCAAGTTTGAAATTGATAAGTGTCCGTTGGTAAAAATTGTGTGATGTATAGCACAATCAAATCACTGCCATGTGAAAAAATTAGAGCCGTTGTTGGGCATTTCCGTTAGTCCATTAGATTTTGATTTCAGATAATGTATTTAAATTTTACATTGTTACACGAACTTTGGGAGATCATGTTTGCATTAGATTACCAAACATAATTTCTAGTGGCGTTTGTAACAAGATACTGGGGGATTACAACACAGGGACTTATTTGCTAAAATTAACTTCTGTTTTTTTTTTTTACACATGCATATGAAGGTTTTGCCATTATCTTCTCATACCATTAACTGCTGGGGAGGTTTGAAACTGGCCTTAAAGTCACTACCCTTGCTAAGCTGTCACCCTCCCCAGTCAGCTGGGTTTCTCATTAGTTATGGGGACTATATATAATCTTTATACGGCAGTTGGGGGAGGGGAGACAGAACAGGAGCAATTGCAAATAGCAAAACTGCAAAAGTATTTATTGGGTTCCAAAGATGATGGCTCTGTACAGCCATTGCTACAGAAGATGCTGAAAACAGGACAGGGACAGGAACTTAAACACAAAGGAAAAAAAAAAAGCACAAATATGCATGAGCAGCAAGGATTACAGTGAGCCTTCATGCCAACAGCAGTCGATTCCCTTGTGTACACACATCCGGAATAGAGGGTATTGTAATTTTATCAAAGTAGATATGCAACAATTTCATTATGTAGCTTATAAGAGCAAGTATAAAATTCAACAAGAGTGTGGGGGGAGATCTGGGAACGAATGTGCACAAGTATTTACACCATTTGTGCATTCACTGGTTTCTTTGAAACTCTGAATGGAAAAAATTAAAATTCTGATATTTAGCATTTTATCAAGTGGCAATAAAAATATCCTAGCAGGGGAGACTGTTACATCAGGACCCCTCCTCTCCCACTATACATCAGCTACTCCAACTGTGACTGCGACGCCTGGAGTAAGATCGATCACTTCGGCTATAGGACCGGTATGACCTGCGGTAAAGGACAAGAAATAAATTAGGCAAATTCAGGCTTCACCGAGCACAAGACTGTCTCACAGAGCGGGTCTTGGAGGTAACTGTATAAAATAAAATCACGCAAGTTAAAAGGCAGAGGCTTTCATCATCATTCACATTTGCTTTCCAGTTATGAGTTTCGCAACGTACAGAGTCACTCTATGTTTGATAAGAAAACGATTCAACCCATGGGAAATGGTGCCAAGGTATAGCTCTCGCCGTAATTAAGACAACAAACGGAGCGAAAAATGATCAAACATAAAATAAACAAGTATAAAAACGAACAGGATAATGAGGTTTGTTAGAAGGTGACTGAAGTGGGAGTGTGCATGTGCAATAGGTGTTTACAGAAAACTCTGTATGTGTGGGAAAAGTCCAAGATTGATAGGATTAGAAGCTGTGTGTGCTTGGACCTACCTAGATCTATTGTCAGAGCTCCTGTAACTATTGCTTCTGCCTCTGCTGCTCCGGCTCCAGCTCCGGCTGCTGTAGCTGTCGTAAGACTCGGACCTGCATCAGAAGCCGCCATTAGGCCTGGCAAAGCCCATGCCTCAAGGAACTCTTAATGGGAAAACTGCCACATGACAATTCCTTAGGGTTTCATTACCTGGACCTTCTGTGTCGATCATATGATCGGCTTCTGGAATGACTCCTACTGCAGGTACGGCTGACAGCACAAAGAAAAAAAAAATATCGCAAGATATGGAAAAGAACGAAATGTCAGTTAAAAAGAAGATTTAGAGAGTGACATGCTGTATTTACATCGTTATAGAGACTTATGTTTTGTAATTTAAATGATTGGGTCAATGCCCACCTCCAATTTTAGCATCCATTCTCACTCACCTGTAACTGCGGTGGCTACGATAGGTGCTGCTTCGAGTGCGTGAGCGCCCCCTGCTGTATCGTCTCCGACTGTGGCTCCTGCTGTAGCTCCTGTGTCAAAAATTTTTACACACGCATACAAATTTTAATCAGTTCCCCCCCCACCCCCACCTCCAATCAACATAACTGAGTTTTTCAGTATTTCCATTCACTTAAGTATTATATTGTACTGTAGCATGATTTTACTGGCCAAACAGAATTAATAACTCCTTTTACTTTATGGGTCTAACACTTCTGTTCAGCAGTTAGTGTGAACCACTGATTCACTGATATTCACTATGACTATTCACATATTTAGCAATCAGGCCGCAGGCATATAACAACACATCTAATGCTCATTCTTAAAGTCAAACTGTCAGATAATCCAGATGTTCGAAATAAGGAAGGCTATATAGATCTAAGGTTATTAATCTAAGGTTTGCTTGAATGACCTGTTAAGTCAACAGCTTAACATACCTGTAGGAAGAGCTGGTGCTCCTGGATCGGCTTACAGAGTGGCTGTACGAGTGCGACCTACTTCTGGATCTTGACCTTGGGCTGGAGACTGAGCGAGACTTGCTCCTTGAGCTGCTCTTGCTGTGTGACTTGCCTTTGTCTTCTGCTAAAGGAGATGTCTCCTCACTGGAGCTGTCCTGATTCCTGGGCCTCTGGTTCAACCGGGCAGTCTTGCGGACTTCATCGAACAGCGATCCTGGGCGTACTCTGCTCTTACTCTTTATTTCAATCCGGACACCTTGGGTTTTACTCTCGCCATGTCCTGGGGCTCCTGCACTTTTGTGCTCTGCAACATTCATATTCAGCCCCTGAAGTGTAGATATGCCTAGAGGCCTCCACCGAGAGTTGCTGGATACTCCTGAGGGTTTACTTACATCAGGTTCTTCACTAGACCCACAACTTGGTACTGAAACAGTCACAGCTACTGGAGCCTGAGGCTTCTCAATAACAGGAACTGAAACAGTTTTAACATTCTTCATTGTACTTAAGGGGTCTGTTACTGCAGAAATATTCCGTGAAATTTCTAGGGCATCAATACATGATTTCTCAAGGTAGGTTGCTGGTGTGTCATGCTCAGGAGTGCATATCTCCATAGAATCATCTTGCTGTTGGTCTGGAGACTTCGAAGACTCAGAGGCAGCAGCTCCCAATTTCTGAGCAGTAACATCTATGTGTCCAACCTTTGCAGGACTTGCAATAGGTGGTTTAATATTCTGCTCCTTTCTGGTTGTTCCAATTACAGGTTCCACAGAACAAGCTGTTGATTGTGACAAACTGTTCTCTTTATGTGTTTTGTGAGTTTTGCCTGTTTTGATTTCTTTTTCCAAACCATGTGACTTCTGGGTCTTTCCTGTATCTGTTTTTATGGGACTTTTTCTCAGTGACACACGTTTCAGGCTGACATGCTCCTTTTGTAATGGTGCCTCTTCTTCTTCCTCCTCCTCTCCAAATTCTAGAGGTGGCTGCCAGTGGAAGGTTTCCTTGGGTTTCTGATGTTTTTTCTTGGACTTTTTTGTCTTGGATTTGGACTTTGACCCGTGTAGCCGTATTTTGGTTGAATGCCTTTTTTTGTGCTTATGCTTCCGTTTAGCTTTCTTCTTCGTCTTGTGTTTTTCACTTTCATTTTCTATCTGGGAACTTTTATTAATCGAAACTGGTGCACTTCTTGGAGCCTTCGGAAACTCAACATCTGTATTTACAGGCACTGCATCACCAGCAACTTTACTTGTTTTACTGTCCAAAGGCACCTGCTCTTCACTGTCAGATCCAGAGCTGGCTTCTCCTTCTTCTTTGCCAGAGGAATGTTTTGAATCCATTACCTTGTCCCTTTTTTCAGCTCTTTCAGAGTCACTTTCGGAATCCAACTCAATCAAAACTGACTTCTTATTACTCTCCTCACTCAGTTTAACTCCTAGTTTATGCATCTCTAATGAGAGGTTAATCTTTTTTCCAGATTTTTCACCAACTGTAAGAATTAAAGCATTATTTTGTTTCTCCCTTTCTTGGTCAGTGATCTCTTGGCTACAGGCATCTACGTTAAGCTTCCTCTTTGTCCTCTTTGAATCGGCAACATGTCTATGACTGTGTATTGGGCTCTTCTCACTGTCAGCTGCATTCTCTGAACAAGAATGTGAACTGTGATTTTGCTTCCTGGTTTTGGGTGTACTACTGGTCAATGAATACTTTTCAGATACCTCTTGTGTACTACAATGCCTTTTCTCTCTCTTTTCACCTGAATTTTCTTGTCTCGGAACCTTGTGCTTCCTGTAAGATTCAACTGAATCTGATCTGCTGTAAGATGAGGACCGACTGTCATACCCAGATGGGGACAAGGACCTGGATCTGGAACGATCCCTACTTCTGGAGCGGCTGCAGGATCTGCTGTTGCATCTGCTTCTAGAAGAACTACTGTGTGGCCGTCGTTCATGTTTCCGTCTCTTGAGACTGTCTCGCCTGGAGTTGCTGCTTCTTTCAGTGTCCGAATTGTCACGCTGGTCACGGTAGGAGGATATAGGTTTACTCTGTGTGACACCAGTGACTGTGTGGCCAGATTGAATGTGTGGGGCTGGTGTCGTTTTTTCTTTGATTTCCTGGATACGGACATATGAGGGCTTCCAAGGTTTCTGTCCAGGTTTCCATCTTGATGGTGGGGGACTATCACTTAAAGGTAACACTGGAACACTCTCTGCAGATGCAAGAGGAGTCAGAGTATTTTCAGTTTTAATTGGTGCCTGTACAGCAGTGTCTACTTTTGGTTGGCTGGTCTCAATGAGCTTTGTTTTGCAAGGGGATCTTGATAATTTCCTTCTCTTTGATCTCGATAGTGACCTGGATCTTGACCTTGACTGTGAAAGACTCCTGGACCTTGAAGAGGATCCTGACCTACCTCGTGACCTTGAACGACTTGAAGAATAAGATCGACTTTGTGATCTGGTGTATGAGCGCGAGTCTCTTGAGGTGGGTATTGATCGGTGGCCTTTTTCTGAGCCAGACCACTCTTTCACGGGGGGTCTGTAGTTGGAAGAAGAACGAGACCTCCTATCACGATAGGAGTGCCTTGATCTTCTCTCAGAGGAGAATGACCTTTCACCTTCAGAAAGCGGTGACTCCCGGTTTTTCTTCTTATGGGCTTTCTTCTTCGAATGCTTCTGTTTTTTAGACTTCTTTTTATGCTTGACCTTCCTCTTGTCTTTCCTGCGTCGGGAGTGGTGGCTGGATCTACTCGAGCTATGATCAGAAGTGTAGTCCTGTGACCATGACCTGGACCACGGAGAGACAGTTCTGTTGTCCCATCTGCTTGAACAATGGTCATTCAATCTGTTAAGTCAAAATTTATACCCTGAGTAGAAGGAATACCATCTACTGTAACATAATCTAAGCACTATCATATTAACTAAAACCTCAACATCGAAAATCATTGCTAATCTCTAAATTTTGCAGCTATTGTCAGCAGACATAGACACTGGAAAAAAAAGAACAAAAATCTAGCTTCATCCTTTGTAACATAAGCACATGCCTACAGGACTTCAAAAAGACTGCTTGATCATTGTTTGAGGTAAACCTAACTGGTGGGTGTTTCCCTGTAGTTTCACAAAATGCATAACACTGCATACTTGTCCCCTTTGCTCCATTTCTCCACGGTCGGCGGCTGGTATGTCTTAGTCCTCTGCATCTCCTCTTTCCAGTGAGGCGGAGTTTCACTGCTCCCACGATCCTCTTCGGACACCGAGCGGGACTTCGACCGAGTGGGAGTATGGTATCTCTGCAGTGGGAATTTAACTGGCTGTGGCACACTGACGACATAACAACCCTTACCACAGACTTTGGGCTCCCCTTATTCTCTATTACGCTCCTGATAGCTCGCGAATTGCATGATTACCTTATTTCCATGAAGTCAACATCGAAGGTATGCTTTTGTAGGGGAAAAATAATCTAACAGTGCAAAATGAGAGACAGGTAGTTATACCGAGAAGAAGAGGCAAGGACAGAAGAAAGAGGGAGAGAGAAAACATTTGCAGGGATTTAAGTTCAGGTTCGCTTTCTGGGCTATTCTGAAAATCCAAAATAGTCGTGTAACCAAAAAAACTGCAGATCTTTTTTTCTTCATTCTATACGTTGTTAGTCTTGCGTGAAGATGAATTAAAAATGCCATAAATGAAAGAAACGGGGATGGTAACACTGAGGAGACAAATCTGGCCATGGAACACGGGTCTTAGGAAGCCCAGAACGTGGGAAGGCGTACCATTGTTCCGCGGCCTTTGATTTTCCGTCCGGATTTGGTGACTGCTGGCTTCACATCATTTGGAGCTGAGGGGATCTCTTGCTGCGCTCTTAAAGAAGAACAAAAAATATATACACAGAATAAACGGACTTCCATCAATCTGCACTAGGTAGCTTTGCACTGAACAATATTAATTTCATTCAGCATAACTACTAGCTACTCCCTTTGGATTAACTAAGCATGCTAATCCCACTGCCCATCATATACATCTGGCAACAAATTCACATTTTCAAGGCATTATGGGTAAGGATGCCAGACTTCTATAACCCGCACACTGCCTACAAAGGTTATGCATATTAAGCATGTCCCTTCATGTGTCACAAAGAATACTTCAATTATCAAAGAGAAATCCAAACAATGCGTTTGCAAGAGTTCAAGGGATCAAATCAGCTCGCTATAGTGGATGAAGATGCTCACGTGTCTGGCTTTTCTTCTTCATCTGGCGGATCGCGCCTCAGAAGGAATCGGTTCTCTGGCACAGGTGGAATCTCTTCTGGCCGAACCACAGGCTTTTCCCTTTTCACATTCAGGTCTTTCTCTTCATCAACAGACTCTTCCTCCAAACTACTGCAAGACACAATACACACAGTAGTCAAATTATCTGCAGAGACAACACTGTCAGACAGTCTAGTGAATGACCTTTGATTACTGTTTCAGTGTGAAATACTCAGTAATGTCAAATACACAATACAGAAAGCTGTAACAGATTAACAACTTGAATGTTTCTGTATACTATGGGCACCTTTTTAAATAAAGGACTTGGTCAAACTGATTCCAAGGTTCTGCTATAATTGCAGTCTGAGGTGATAATGGGTCACTCCAGAAACGCACCTCTGGCTGGATTCTGTCCTTCGGTGCCGGCTCTCCTTCTTCTTTGCCTCCTTTCTTCTCTTCTTGGAGTGCTTGCTCTTCGCAGGCTGCTTCCGCCGGCGACCCCGCCTGTACTTCTCTTCTGATTCGCTGTCCGACTCCGGAGATGAGGAGGAGGAAAAGGAAGAGTCTGAAGAACTGAGGGAAGAGTCTGCCGAGTGAGACTGCCTCTTTCTCTTGCAACTGAGCACTGCAAGTCGAAGGCAAGATAAAATTATATACCATCTGTTTTATACACAGACAGACACACACACATATATATGTATAGTCTCATATTAGATGTGACTGAAAAGGCTGATATAAATAAGAAGATATGGTTTAACACCTTGTGCAGAAACCATACGACTTGTCAAACAAAACATGAGCTCTGGTCTTCTTCCTCATTAACTTCATGGCGTGATTCCAGATGGGGCCTTCACAGAACAGCACAGAGGAAGGAGAGCTCACCGTCATTGGCTGATTTTGTTATCAGCTGGCCGCAGTCGATCACCCTCACATCCGCGTATGGCCTGCTGGCTGAGTCGGTCTTCAAGGACTCGATCTTCTTTACCACTTCAAAGCCGGAGATGACCAAACCGAAGACTACGTGAACTCTGAGGAGGAAAATTTGAACAGTCACGGTCAGTCATACCACACTGAAAGAGGCTAAATTTTCACTCATTCACACGTAATATTAAGATTAAAGATTATGCTGAAAGACACTGAATTAAAGTTAAAGAACATCATACCCATCCAGATGTGGGGCCATCTTCGTAGTACTGTTAAATCATTGTCCATTCAGCCGGGTGTATTATTTTATCCCCGATGGTCAAGGTGAAAAAGTCATGGAGAAAAAGAAAAACAGAATAAGTATGTGGTAATTTTGGAGACCATGAAAAGCAAAAAATCTGGTTACAATTTCACTGCTCAATAATACCTGCCATATGAGAAAAAAATCTCTACAACTAACACTGCTTTTTATTTTTTGACATGAGACTGAGCAGGATCTACAATGAGATTTAACAGAAAGCCTCACTGGGCTACTTTCACAAAAATGAAAAAGCAAACCGGCAAATAATTAATAATGTAATTTAATTTGGACATCTGGGCGAAACTACATGGGCAAATGGGAGAGTCTTCAGTTTCAGGCAGTTTTCATTATAACCATTCAAGTTTAAAATAGCACACCAATACCACAATATGGATGGACATCATACCAAGTCGCTTCTAAAGGACTTTGAAAGTTCAGATTCAGATTGTCCATCATGCATCAAACCGAAACCTGCTAGAAGAGCTTTCGTCTCGGCCCAACATCTCATTTCAGAAAAATGACTTTCAAATTTCAATTTTCCTGTTGAAGCGTCTCGGAATCGAAAACAGGCCAAGGGCTTCTGGTACCAGCTGTCATAAGATGACAAAATCGGGGCTTTCTAATGCATAGTGAAGCTTTTCAGCACTAGCCCCCACAATTCAAAAACAGACAATCCAAAGGGTGCTTGGCAGCGACAGAGGAAAGATGGCGGAGACAAGCAGCTACTGTAGTAAATGATCAATACACAGTCAGGAGAGAGAAGCACAGCCTTAGAGTGACACTTTACCTTGGAAGAGCAGGATGCTAGAGTTTCTGTAAATTTTACACAAAAACGGCAAGAGAAAAATTGTAATACATTTGTAGGCAAAAAAGGACTCGAAGTCTTTTTAGTTTTTGTTTTAAATGCATATATCAAATGGAAGAGAGAAATAAGCATGTTGATGTCTTCTGTATCAGATATAAAGAGTGTATTGCAGTGCTTTAGCAATAAAGAGGGACAGGGGGCTCACTAAGCCTTTAAGCCAAAAAAAATTACGGAACAGTGTCGTAAATGGACAAATACTGGAGGACCCTAAAATTTTCACATGAAATATATCAAGCAGAAGAGGCGTTTATCAAAAATATAATCTTGCTTGTCCTATTCTAGTTTTACTTTAACTTTAGTACTAAATGTGGTACTATACCAACAACTGCTTTTTAATATCCATTTACAAAATATATTTGATTTTAAGCTCTTAAAATTATGGGTAATACCTATTAACTGCATACCTTAAATGCATAATGCATTCATAGAACATTCAGGGCATCTTCATTATGCATTCATAGAACATTCAGTGCACGTTCATAACATATTGGTAGAACATTCATAAGAAACATGTAAGTATACCTTAACATCATAAAATATATCAGCTTTAATATACAATGATAACATATGATAATATCAAACATTATAATGTTTATTAATGTACATTAAAGCTGATATGATATGTTAGGATGTTATGGTATACTTACATGAGGCTTATGAGTGTTCTACGCATGCATCATGAATGCCTTATGAAGGTGCACTGAATTTTCTATAAAGGCATTATGGAAGTGCAGTTAATGTAAAGCATTACCAAAATATGTTTAGAGACAACTTAAAAGAAAAAAATTGGAGAACTCGTGCAGTTAACATTCAAAGACAGATAACCCTTCTAGTAGTGTCTTGTAAGCCTACCTTTCAGGAAGTAATAAAATTGCCACAACAGATGTATTTTAAGTTAATTTTAAGCTTTCATTATTTCTGTCATATCCAAGTTTACCTAAGTCAGTTTTAGGTCTGTAATAAAATGTAAAAATTTGAACGGTAAAGAACATTTGTGTCAACCCTTGGCATAACAGCAAAAAGAAAATTTTAGAGTCCTGATTCTAATTCATGTATAACTGAAGTACAGATGCATGGAACTGACATTTTAAAATTTCCTTTTGTTTTTCCAAAAACAGCAGATTCAAGAAACACAGAAGTCGATAATTAGGGAAGCACCATTCAGTGAATGGAAACACAGCTGTACAACTAATGATTTTGACATGCACTATTCAGGTCAGAAAGCACAGAAACTTATTGTACAATCCATGTTGGAAATATGGCACAGACCTGCACTTGTGGTGAACCCATACAGTACCAGTCAAAAGCCTGGACACACCAACTGAAAATCATTTTGTTTTTCAACCAGATAACAACCCTAGGCATCTTGTGAGCAAGGAAAAAGATCCGCGAGTGCCAAAGCTGGTCCCCACAATCCCGGGACGTAAACCCTATGGGCCGAGTTGGATCAAAGATTAAGAGCAGGGTAGCTAACTTGTGCCCAGAACTTGCGGAAACTCTTTCAGGACTTTTGGAGAAGCATCCCAGGTGGCTACATCTGGAAGCCAGTAGAAAGAATGCCATGAGTCAGCAATGCTGTCACTGAAGGCACAGGGGCTATTTTGAAGAGTCGAAAATGTAACTGAATTTTTAGATGTTGAACACTTCTTTTGGTCGCTGCAGTAACTGATATGTATTCCTTCATTGACTTGAGAACTACTATGGGGTGAATAACAGCTAAAATACAGACGAATGGATTAAAATTTATGTCGAGACCTTTGACTGGTACTGTATGAATTAAGACATTATACAAATAAATGCCAACTGTTGCTTGTTACAAGATAGTAGAAGGCTTAACATATGCAATATGAACCTGTGAGAACAAAAAAAATCTGGACAAGACAAATGCTATTTAATTGTGATCAGTTAGCCAAATTAAATGTCAGTGGTGTTCAGAATGTACCGACTTTCAACTGAATTATGCTTCCCAACAAAACATTCAGACACCAAAATGAGATGCTACTCACATGAAAAACTGAGAACCGTTTGTGTCTTTGCCTCGGTTGGCCATTGACAAAAGAAAGGCTCTGTCGTGTTTGAGCTTAAAATTCTCATCTGTTAGAAGAGAGAGACACCCAGTGAGATGTGTTACATTTCCTTGTCAGAAGTGCCAGCGCTTAGGATTAATGACGCCATGTATCCTCAAGTAAGGCGGCCCAGAAAATTGCCCTTCTGCAAGAAAAACGGTCACTCCTACCATAAGTAAATCTCAAGCTAACAATGCTTAGGACATTCACTTTAACCTTCAATAAGACACATGAAAAACACATTTCAGAAAGACACGTAAACTGCTATTCAAGACTGCCCTCCTCACTAAAGGTCTGATTTCAGTTGATCAAAGCAGTATCCTTTATTTATTCTTATTGTCCTTTATTTACAATTGAGTCAGGCACTGTTTTTTCCAATATTTATCAGAAGAAATAAAATCTGTTTGACTCTTGCTTTCAATTTGTTCCGGAAGTTGCATAAGAAATTGGATTCCATCCATTTCTACCAATCCCCTAACCATAAGGAATGAAATAATCCAAGGCCTATTTTGGGAAACTGGCAGTTTACGGTCACCTGTACAAGTCCTTGGATTATAGGCATAACCCGAAATCCTGGAGAACATCCACACAAACACTTAGAGAACATGCAAACTCCGCACACAGAGCTGGGCCCAGACTCAAACCCATAGCCTCATATCTGCGACGTGACAGTGATGAACTATGATGCTGCCCAAGTATTAATGAACTTATTCTATTATTGAAATACTAAGATCTTAAATCAAACACAAAAAAGCTACATAAAGCACAAAATGTGTTTATCTAGAGCAGATAAAAAGCAAACAGACCTTATAGAGACATGCAATACAAGGTGCTAGGTGTGTATGAAACAAATATTTCCCATAATAATCTTTAAAGAATCATAATAAAATTATCATTAGAATAACATACAGCTCTTAACATTTAATAAGTGAGAAAACCCTTAAGGTATCTGGCCTAAGAAACAAATACGTCGTCCACCTTGCCTACGAACCCATGTGTGCATATAAATCTGTGGTGATTGAAAACAAACAAATATACAAGCTATCACATACCCAGTGTGATAATTCTATCACTACAACTAATGATGCGAAGAGGGGAAATGAAAAAGAAAAAAAAGAAAGATACACCTCAAAGTCTTCAATGAATATTTATCCACACATTGATCACGGAAGACTTTTGGAACCATCGTTGTGGGGAAGGTGAAAGGGCACAATGTATTGTGTTACTGAGCTGTGTGCATCTCTTACCTTCATTTTGCATAAGACCACAATCTCTATAAATAAAAACATATGTTCATAAATTTAGGCAGGAAGATTGATCTCAATTAAAAAAAAGCCTAATCCTCATGCTGAGTCAGCAAACAAAAAAAAAGAAAAGAAAAAGTTACCCACTTCGAAAGTCTACAAAGACAAAATAAAAATTACCTCCAGAGAAATTAAAAGTAACCTTAAGATGTAAATAAGTCTGATAAATTTTTTTTTAACAAGTTCATGCAACATTAGGCTCATGCATAAATACAAAGAGATGGAAGGTACTAATACAGCACATATATACAACATTGGTACTGAGCAACTCCTCTAGGACTTTCTGTCCCAAGTCGACCGACCTGCTTACCTTCAAAGTAGCCACCGTATATCGACTCGCCCCCTCTTCCGTTACCTACAAATTGCAGAGGGGAATCACAAACTGGATGTAAAAAGCCACAGTGCGTGACAGGACACATCTGATGACTGTCGTAAGTGATTGGACAAAGTGTGGACCACACATCATCTTCACAAGATATACATCTGCTTAACTTCCTGGTAATACAAGTCTGATAATGCATATCTAAATAAGATAGTGATACTTTATTGTTTTTTTTTTTTGCATTTACAATCTTACTCCCCATGAGACACACAGACAAATAGGCAGCTGAGAGCACGCTTGGGAGCACAGGGTCAGCCAGCATGCAGCCTCCCTGGAGCTGGGGGTTAAGGGTCCTGCTCTGAAGCACAACAGTGGTATCAATCTGCCGGCCCTGGGATTTGAACTAAAGTCCTAATCCACTGAGCCACAACACCATCTCCCAGCTGAGTACAACTATGCGTTCACTCACGTGTAAACGGCAGCAACCCAAAATACTCCATGAAAGTGGTGGGTGACAGTATTTTTTTTAAAACTGACTTTGGTGATATTAATTTAGAAAATATATTTTAAATTCTCCAGCTTCAGACAGAAGAGCACAGATACAAACAACTTGCTGTCAGAGCTACAAGGAACAAAAAAAAATCTTCCGAAATGAAAGTCTCTATATGTAGTGTGAAGAACTTTACCTTCTGTGAAATCTCCACCCTGGATCATGAAGTTCTTTACCACTCTGTGAAACGTAGAGCCTTTATAGCACAAGTTTTTGCCTGTGACTTTGCTCGTCCCTTTTTCACCTACAGAATTGGTGTGAAATGTAACAGTTAGTATTGAAATATTAAAGCAAACAGCTTGCCCAGAAAAGACAGGATTCTGAAACTGCTTTTAACATTTACATATTTAGCAGATGCTTTTGTCCAAGGCAATGAACAAGTGAGGCAATTAGCACATCAAACATATGTGCTGTCGAGAAGTCAGCAAGATACAAGTGCAGCTAGGTTGAACTTCCAATGAATGCACAGGTACACGGGTTAGAAGTACTGGAGTGGGAGTTACACAGCAAGTTCAAATAAAGCAAGAACCTAATAAGACCATTCAATGACCAAACGTGCAACATGAGAACATTCAGGGAAAGTAAAGAGACATCAATCTAGTAGAGGGGATATTACAGGGTGCATTAGTTGTTAACTACACAAATAACTAACTAAATTCACTTTTAAAACTAAACATCAATTAGTTTACCGTCTTCTGGGCCACCACATTTAAAGTTCATTATTACAAAACACACAAAACCATGGACACCACAGACAAGGAGGAAACCGAGTATCAATAGATCTGATATTTCAGAATCGTACCCTGCCTGCACACTGGTCTTAAAGAGCCCGTTCTCACCTACTCAGTCAACTATACCTTTTACACAACTAATACAGAGGAACCTTTAATGGCCACATTTTTGTGACCATTGTGGATAATGTATGGAGGGGAAAACCTGTTTCCCGAGCGTGCAGATTATAATCCAAAGAGCATTACTGGACAAAGTTTAAACAGAATAGAGTAAATAAAGCCTTGGTGCGGGTGTGTCCTTGTCAACCTAACATTCCTTTTGTCAGGTATCCAGAAAAATGTGTTTCAATCCCCAGCTGCTTCCCAGATACCTCCAACAACCTCCAGACAGGACAAAAACCCAACAACTGAGATAATACTTCACTGACTGATGCACAGTGGAAATCCTGGGCACATCAAGAATGATTTAACTACAGTGTCCAAAGGAGATTTATGATCTGCTCTATGTATTAAAATGTGCTCTCGTTCTCCTTTAAAGGAAGAACAGGGGGCCGATAGAATTGTGTGTTAGTCAGTTTTAACACCAACATAAGAAGATATTATGCAAATAATGAAAAGACTTACCGGTACATAAGCTGAGAAAATTTTTACTTGTCTTGGGACAAATATCAGAAAAAAGCTGAAAGACAATACGCCCAACTATAGAAAAAAGGAAGACAAACATATGAAACATTCTCCATCATAAACACACTTTACATTCATTACTGACTATTTGCTTTCACCCAAAAGACCATCTGCTAAGCTTCAAACAAAGTGAAACATACATCATGAGTTCATATCAGTGTAGCTTGAGAGAAAAACATTTCAGATATTTTTTTCAGAGCAATATGGTCCTTAGTAGACATCCCAAAGTAGACATCCTTAATGTCTACTGTGTACATGTGGCTTTTTACATTAAGAAAAGTTATTATTATAAAAGTAAAATACAAACAGAAGGACAAACATCCAATTATTATTTTCAGCTTCAAATGAGATCCTTTGAGGATCATCAGTCCCATATGAAGAAGCTTAACTTATTGCAGTTTATAGCCCTAAATATACCACATTCCAATATTACTTCAAAATCCAATGCACCTAAGCAAACCTAGACAAGTAGCTAAAATAAATATAACCCAACTAGTATGTGATAGAATACAAATTCAGCCTTGAATGAGGCTCATTATCTTTCTTGTTCAGCACAATAGCTGAAAACTGCCCAGATATTACACAGCTATTTTCACCCTTTGGGCCAAACGTGTTGTAAGTGTAACCTTCCTTACCACTGAGGTAAGCAACAGTTGTATTTGTACAGAAACACTGAGCAGAGTCAGAATTTAGTTACATGAATACTGATGTAGGGTATTTATGCATAGCTATACATATTGTAAATATTTACAGAAACACAGAGGAGGTTAAAGAGTTTGCATGAATATAGTGTTCATTTCAATAACAGAAAGTTGGTTAATTCCTCATAAACCAGCTAACAGTGTGTTATAGTAAAGGACTGGATTGTGTTACTTTATGGTACACTTGTGCTCTTACTATCGATACCAAACTATTCACACACCATTATTCTTGAACAACTTCAATGGGTTACAGAGATTAATTCCACAACTAGAATCCCAGGGATCTGGAAGATAGAAAGAAAGAAAAAATCTTACCTGGCTCCCTGTTTACTTCCACGTCAAAGTAACACTGAGGGCGGTCTTTAATCCCCATTATCAAGGTATTATCTATCTGCAAAACAAAATATATGCAAGAGTAGCAATGGTGTATCCAATTTCCAACCACACTAAGTTTGAAGAATTCCTGATTCACTGGGTAGTGAGTGTCATCTCTCCTATGGATGACAGAAAGAAACCAGAAAGAAATGATTTGCATGATAAACACTTGCAAATCCAACTACTCCCTAAGCATTATGGTACAAACTTCAATACTAAATTTTTTAAAATGTGGATTCCAATGATATATATCTTTAATGCGAAAAAAAGGAAAAGCACAAGTAAAGCGTTTGCAGTGTAATAAGAGCCTGGAGATGCCACACTGTTTCGGAACTATAAACAGATGGTAAAATGGCTTCATGGCTGAAGTATCACATAACTGTGTCCAAATGCAAAACTGAACGCTTCAGGTGATCCTTTTTACCCGATGCCATACAAATATACTCAACACTGCTTCTGCTAGCAACACTACTATGCTCAGTGACCACTGAATGTACACAGAAGCAGTCCCCAGGTTATGGATGAGATCCGTTCCCTAAGTCTGTGCTTAAGTCTAATCTTTTGGTAAGTCAGAACAGCAATAACAAAGCACATATGAATAATAGATTAATAATAAAACATACTGTACTGTAACTTGAGCTGACGAACCATTGAAGCCGCACAATGTTTTCATGAGTGTCACAAAGTAGTGTTTGTGTGTTCATTGAACCATTGAATTTAACTCACATTTTTGATATGATAGGTGATACGGCAGCTATTTTATAAATACAAGTTGTTCATTAGTTGGACATTCTTAACCCAGGAATTGCTTGTATACACCATCTGCACATCAGCCTATTTTGTACTGTATTTCCCACATTGGTACATTAGTTTTCCTCTTATTTATTCTTTAAATGCATTACTTATTATATGTATTCTTATATTCCCCTTTGGCTGTATTTATTTCTACTTACATTATCCTTTGTTGTATTTCCTCTTTGTGCTACTGAACAGAAATGTCCACCAGAGATCAATATTCTATCTTGTCTTAGCTGTCATTTTCATTGTACATGAAAATATATTTTCTGCAGCTTCCCAAAGTTTCTCCTCTACTGGAGAAGCCACCTGCCAATCAGGTAAATGAAACCAGAAAATACCAGGGGAAAAAGGGGGTTGTAAAGGAAGTTATGACCATACATGAGGTTCGGTGTTTATAACTACTGTGACATCAGGTTTCTTTTAAGTTTAGTTTAGAACTAAACTTACATGGTCTGTCCACAAGACAAGATGACACACACAGTAAAGCAACAGTCGAACAGAAAACATTAAAACATTTCTCACTTCTAGGAAAAAAGATACACCCATTTTGTGGCCACATCTAAAAACAATCTACTCAACATATACGAGGCAATAATCCGTAATATGCAAAGACTACTAAACTAAATAGAAATGCATGCCTGGTCATACATAACGCAATATCAATTTTTACCAAAAAAGGGGCAACCATAATGCTCAGGACTACACTAGGGATTAAGATATACTGGCCATTAATAGTTCAGTATTTTATTAAAAGATTGCCTACGCCATACAAAGACTTGAACAGCATTAAAAACCGATTACAACCCACAAAGAAACCCAATTCAAAAGCAAACCATGTTTTAGCTCGTTCTACAGATTTCACTTTTACAGAAAGGTTTCCTCATACGACTGCCTATTTCCGTCGGATCGGCATGCAAATTGTTTTAATTTTTTATTTATCATTATAATACACATTTACTCCAGCTCCATCGTTTCAATGACCCTCTCGCTGATATAACGACTGATAGAACTAAATTTATTACCCATCACATTTTGTATTCAGACAAAACACAGAAGCAGTAAGAGCACTCCGCAGCAGCAGCCTGTAAGCCGTTAACTAGACGCCGGTATAGCAGATTTATTTAGTGACGGCATTTTGTTTAAGCTAAGCAGATATGCACAGGGGAGACGTCTCCGGAAAGCCTAAATCGAGTTATTTATACGCAGTTAATCGAGAACACGTCATGTTGCCACCCAATCAGGTCTCCAGCACGTATAAAATGCAAATAGCTACTATACAGTATTTCCCCATCAATAGGACTTTGCCAAATTATAGCAAGTCGGGGCATCAAGTCAAAGAAGAATGTGAAGGGAGTCCCTTTTTGTTGTTTTTCACTAAACTAGTGAGAGGTTCGATAAAACCACTAAAATCAGAGTTTTTATTAAAAACGAGTGGAAAGCTGAGGACTCCTCTGATCGCTGCCAACCGGATCGGAGAATTTAAAACGAAAGCAAAAGAGACGTGGCCAGACAGAGCCATCCAGCACGCACCTTGGTCTTAAAGCATAAAAAACAAAATGCGATTAAAAGTTATTAGTCGCTATTAAATTACTCGATGCGCAAAGGTGCGCTGCAGACCCCCAACCCCCAGCTACCGTATATAGCCAATACCGTCAACCTACCCCGAAACACAGGACTACCGCGGCCTCCGGTTCTTATTTAAGCCTGCTCATCTAGCTATTAAATCCCAGTCAAACATTTTCGCCCGCGCGGTATACACTTCGAAAATGTAACATACGCATAAATTGCATTTTAACACGGTTTTAGTACGATTTTACACGAACGGCTCATTGTCCTACCTGTCTTAACGCCGTCGTCCAACAGCCGGCTCGAGCCGCCTTTCGGATCCTGTCGCGCCTGCGCTCGAGCGGACTTCGCTCCTGCCCTCCTCCCCCGTTGGCTCTCGGGATCTTGGAGGAACGTCCGCTCCGGGTGATCCGGGGGATCCCTGACAATCAGTGCGATCAAAACAAATTCCAGCCCTTGTCGATCCTGAGGCTGTTTAGACATACTTATTCATTCCTACTGAGAAACTGTCTTTTGGCTTACATCCCAATAGATGTTTTAAAACAACAAAACAACTAATTACTAATATGCTGAGCAGAGTCTCAATGACAGGACTGACAGAGCAGGCAATGACTGGGCCCCTGAGCTGGGAGTGGGTCCCGAGGGCGGTCGATTACATATTACATTGCAACGACAAATCTGCTTTATTTATGTTTTCTGTTTTTCTCAAAAGTAAAAATAAAGGTATTGTGATTTTTAAATTCTCTTTGTTTATATTATAAATTTACACTTAACAGTAAAATAAAGGTAATAAATTTTGCCATACTATAGGGAAGGGTCCCATGTCCCTAGAATCGCCTCTTAAGTTGAGTAACCACAGAAATGCACCGCACTTGTGATCGATGTTTTTGCCATTTCACCCTGAATAAGGGCGTAACATAAATATAATGTAGAAATAGATTTTTTCATTTACATTCATAATGTCTGCAGAATATGTATCTAACCACAGACAAATTTGCATTTGCGTTTAGTTGTTTTGCAGACCCTTTTAAACAAAGCAACTTACACATTTTATCAATATATACTGCTATACATTTTACTGGGGAAATTCGGGTTAACTGTCTTGCTCAAGAATGTTACCTCTCAGCTCCGCTTGGAGTTTGGACCCGCAAACGTCCGGTAGGAGCCGCACTTTCGAGTACCGTTTAAGTAACATTTTAATTATTATTTAAAAAAAAAAAAAAAGAAAGAAGCTAAATTACAGTTTCAAGATGGCAATTCAGGTAAAACGCCAACATTAAAACGGTTTTAGAATTTCACTAACACTACAGCACAGCCACTACGAATGCGATTACGTCATCAACCAAATGCACTTTCCCATAATTCTCAGCGCTGTCTGTCAGAACTGAGGCGAGCTGTCAAAGTGTGGCGCTACAAAAACATTGACGTTACTTCAATTATCACGACGTGGCAGCCGTCCGAAGCAACCCCGTTATCAACCATTTTCAAATCAGTGCGTTTGTACATATCAGTTATTTAAAATAAATAATAAACCCGGCGACGATGAGGTAAGGAACAATGAATTGGTACAAACAAGAGACTATCTTTCACCGCTAATTAAAGGAGCTACTTGTCTTCTTGTTCAAGTAAACCCAAAACATATATTAATTTTTGGCGTTCTCCCAGGCACGGCTAATTTTCTAGCTGAACATGACTTATTATATGCACTGTAAATGCACTTATAAGTGCCCTGCGCTTGAAGAGAGCGAGTTCATTTAGCTTGTCTCGGTTAGCCGCATACATGTCATTAGTGTTGGGCTGTATCATGGTGTTAATCGTTCCATCGGCAGGGATACAGATTTCCCCCACAGTTTGTACTTTACGGGATTCTCACGTAAAAATAAAAGCGTGTTCCGTATCAGGGGACGTAAATACGCGAACCGTCCGTGCCGTAGAGCAACAGCCTTTTCCCCGATCCTGTAATCTGCTTGTGAGGATTTTCTACAGGTGTTGTCATACAGAATTAGCAGTCAGCAGTTCCGTATTAGTATTAAGTGTTAAAAAAATTAAAAGTATTATATTCCCTACTATTACGCCCTTGTACTTATAGGACATGCCCAGGAATAGAACTGCCCTGAGTGTATGCATTGAATATGTGGTTTATCAGCTCATACAGTATACTGGCTTTAAAAATGGTACGTTAATTTATACGCAATTATAGGTAACAAAAATGGTTTGGGCAATGGGTTACTAATCCTCTGCTTTGCTTTGAGGGTTGCAGGTAGCTTGGTGCTAAAGAAAGCAAGAAATGCTATCTGAAGCCTGACAACCTGTTGTGTCGTGGAATACAATGACAGAACTAGTTAAATTAAGTATAGAGTACAAAGTGAACAAAATATTTGTTTGCCTTGCTAATACATTTAAAATGTAAAAATAAAAAGGGCAGTCACAGTCTCTGTCGCCTTTGAAGCTGCCCATACTCTTCCTGAAGGATAAAGCCATGTTCAGAGTTTGGAAATAAAGGGTATCTGCTTGCTCCCCCTGCAGGCTGCATTTCACCGAGGCTCTCTGCGGAGCATGTCACTGATCCTGTTTGCCTTTGTGGCTCGGGCCAGGGATGGACTCCCTCTCTCGGCTTCCACGGACTTCGAGCACAACCACGAGCTGCAGGAGCGCAAGCACCAGCTGAGAACGCTGTCCAAGTCCCTGCCACTTTGCCCGGAGAGAGGAACAATCAAGGGCCATGATCTCAACATATAGTGAGCAGATGCAGTTTACAGTTACTGCCACTCAGGCTCATAATCCTGGTGCAGTCAGGCAGTCGAGAGAACCAGAACCTCTTAAAGCTATACGCATGTAAATTCAGGCATCAAAGATTACTGCTGTGTATCCATCCATCCATCCAGCACTACTTCTGTGCTCAGCGGGTTAGGACTTCGTGACCGTCAGGTCACAGATTTGAATTCCAGGGCCGACAAACTCATGTCACTATTGGGCCCTTGAACAGGGTTCTTAATTCCCAATTGCTCCAGGGGTGCTGGCTGATCCTGCACTCTGACCCCCAAAATTGCTGTTTGCTATTTGCTGCCGCCCAGGCACATGCAGAATGGGGGGGGGGCCTGAGAGTCAATCAGTGACGATCATGTCAGGCCCCTTCATCCCCCCAGGGTAGGCAAAATTTATTGATGAGGACCCCCGTCCAGTCGGCAAATATTACTAATCGATGACGCTCACACTAAGCTTACTAGGTTGAACCCCCCCCCCCCCCCCAAGGTGTGCAGTCGAGTATGTGCTCCTCAAAAAGTCTGTGAGTGGCACTGCTTTAACCTGAATATCTGTGTTTCTCATACTGAGCAAGATGAAAGGCCATTTTCCTCACAGGGGAAATATATTCTACTCTCTTTTGCAGTACAGAATCAGTGCTTATTTGTGCTTTTAAAAAATGAAAGGAAAAAAAAATCACAAACATGCATTAAAGTGAATAGAGAGTATAGCAATAATAATGTGTGGATTCCCTCCGCTTGTTTGTTGACAATGTGTATCCTCTCTAAAGCTTCATCTCAACAGAAGGAGTCTCCTACATGGCCGTTTGCTCCAACAGGCTCCCCATCGCCACGGCCTTCTGCTTCCTGGAAGACCTCCGATGGGAGTTCACAGCTTGCTTTGACAGTGCCACGGTTGCGCTGGCAAACAGACCGTATCCATTCTTGGAATTTGGTAAGGATGCTGGAAAGGACATTTGGGGCGTGGTGTACGGGCCCTCGCTGACCTGGACTTATCTTAGGGAAAAGGCAGTCCGGCTAATCAGCTGCAGGGTCTGTGATTTGGTAACTTTAAAACCGCAGGTTTACTGCGATTTTGTAAGGCATTTATCATTCAATGGGTCTCCAGTTTACGTTCAACTGTATTAAAGGTGCCATATAATGAATTTGTAATTCATTTGAAATTGTTCTCTAGTGTCTATGCAGAAGGTGTGTGAACTTGTCCAGAAGTGGTTTTACAGGCCTATTTACAACCTTATAATTTGGCCCTATAATGAAACAGGTTGTTTTCCTTTATTTGGTGGGCTTATTAATATATTCATAAACTGTGCTCTGATTGGCTGGTTTACACTGAGGCCCTGCGATGGCTCACACAGAACCAACATAGATCACTACAGGTGAGGTGAAACATGGAGCATTTAGGCATCCAACTGTGTATGTGTGGCTTATATCAGTGAAGGATTCGGATGTTGAGGAGTAGCCAGTTGCTCGGAGGTTAAAAATATACACTTCTGAGTGGTAAGTTTACTCATTTAATGTTTCCTGGAACAATTTGTTGCACTTCAGCCTAGGCACAACATTAGCATAATCATAATTTTGCTGAAATTACTGAAATTATTTATCATCTCATGCAACAAATGATTTTACGATGCTAGCTTTGTCATGCAAGTTTCATCAAGGACACCAAACAGGAAGCTGAGCAGCCTGTGAGTGCGTTGTTTGTGATGGATTTGGAGTTCTGCTTTCATTTTTCAATTTCGTTGTCAAATGACAATGACAACAAAGATTTATCTATCTTTTTTTTAGTGCATTTATTTAGCTAACCAAAAGTAGGCTACGGGAAGTAAAGAAGCCTCTTGTCAATGTCAGTATCATAGACTTTGTAATGTTGTTACATATTAATATATCATTCCCATCTACCAAACTTTACTTTTTTCATCTATGCCAAAGTAAAGCCAGATTTTCATTTTATGGCACCTTTAATGGGAAAAAATTATTTATTATAAAATAACACATTTATGAACTAGCAAAATATATATATACAAGAATCAGTGAATGAATCCTGTAAAATGGGTGGTGTTGCTCTGCAGGTTACGAATCTGTACTTGTGATCAGAAGGTTGCTGATTCAAATGCCGTGGTGGAGTGATTCACCATTGGGCCCTCAACTGTATATCTCTTTGGACAAAAGCATCTGAAAAATAAGTAAATGAGCAGTTTGTCTGATTACTGTTTAGTGTGCATTTTTTTAGTGTGCAAGAAAATTGACTAGAGCTTTATGTTTTCTGATATTTTAGATGGAATTTTAAATGACTTAAGGATATTCACCTCAATGGCTGGTGTTGTATTACACACGCATAGGTTCAATTAACAGCGCTTTTGTCTGTTTCTATGCTGTTGGTGATGTGGCGACAGACAGCGTCATCCAGAAAGTGAAGCAGCAGTACAGCCAGGCTGGAGGCCCCCGCAATGGCACCCGCCTGGCCAAGGTGCAGGAGGAGCTGAAGGCCAGACCGCCCAGGCTCCTCAGTTTTGAGGAGATGATGCAGAGCAATGGGGAAGCTAATGGCCATGTGGACCCGGTGCCAGGATGTGGTGAGATAGGCTCTCCATTAGCATGTTAGCATCGGACAGCATTCTAAGCACAGAGGCATTGGGTGCCCATATTGACAGGCACCATCGCTGATACGGTCTGCTCAAGGAGTCTTGGTCCGCAAGTTGGTTAGGTAGCAATGCTGATTTTAAAGTGAAGTAAAATAGGTGTGGTTGATCTGATGATTTTATATTATGATCGATCCTGAAGATGTCCACAATCTACTTTTCATGTGAATTGTTGAGATTGTCTTTTACATCCCCCTACTAACACTTCCAAGCTTCAGAGAAAATTTTGATGGCCAGTAATAACCTATGTCACTATCTGATCCATACTACACTTCCTCACCTGCCATGCTGATGACTCAAATTAAATTGTTTTTCAGATAAGTCACACATGAAAGAGACCCTGTAATAGAGACACGTGATATAACTTGGCCAATCAGTACAGTCATCTAGTAGGAAGTCATTTTGTTGGTTTGTGAATGTAGCACATATCCAAAGTGTAACTACTTGATCCGTATCACCTGCCCAATTCGTACCTCGCAAGTCTGCACAGCATGATATTTTCTGGCACTGCCCATTCCATTCATCCTGCATTTTATGGCAAACTATTTTGTGTACATTTACAGCAAACTACATGGGTCTCTTTCCTGTTTACCAAGAACTGGTGTTGGTGATTCTCCTGATAAAAAAAATAAAATAATCAATTTTCTTTGCTTGTCATTGTAAGTGTTCACTCCAGTCGTTGGATAAATACTATGATCTAAGTATCACTCTGGACTGAAGGGACATATACAGTCACCCCACTGTGACTGGGGCACCTAACGAGACCCATAAACAAGCACTCAGATACAAGTGCAGGTGCTATACAGAACGCAAACAATTGAAAATCGGAGTATCTGGCTGAATATCCCATTCTGGGCTGCTGGAGAACTCTCACGTACAGTTTGCAAAATGAACCTGATGTGAAAAGAAATATTAATGGCATCAGGTGTATGTTTACCAAAAGCATAGTTGCTAACAACGTTAACGACAAATCTATTCACCTTAAAAGGTATCATCCAGCAGCTTTTTAATATTTAAAATAAAGTTTACTTCAGGATTTAATTACCCTTTTGAAAACAGTGCATTTAATGCAATATTCTGTTTTAAATGGTGCTTATGAATACAGTGTATGTCCATAGGCTTGTTTGATTATGGGTATTCTTGACAGTACATTTCAAAACTGGGAATAAAGATCAAAATTAAGATCACGGATTGCGATTGTGTGTTGGAAAGATCACAATATAATTTTTTTGGGAAAAAATGTAAAATGATCTTTAATGGTGCGCTTTTCCATAACACATTTTGAGTGCATTTCAAAACTCTTTTTACCATGATTGAACTCCAATTAATTCTGTGCCCAGGGCCGAACCCAACTAAAAAACAAATAAAACCATCCCAGTCACCCTCCCCAATGGAACGTTCAAGTTAACTCACTCATGCCTCTCTTCTCTCTCTGCCGGTTCCCAAAGGCCTGAGTCCCAGACTGGAACCTGTGACGGCACCCGGGATCCTCTCCTTGGTTCTCAATATCATGTGTGCATCCCTGAACCTCATTCGGGGCGTTCACCTCATGGAGTACACCTTCCAGGTAAGTTCATACAGGCTAGGCGGGGCAGGCATTCAGATATCAGAAGAACAATGCAAGAAGGGGAAAGTCATCAGCATTGATAAGTCCTGTTTATGTGGGGGGAACATACTCTCTGACTTATATAGAAGGATTTCAATGTGTCAACATAGGCAAAACCCAGGTTTAGATTAGGATATGGGAAGTTTTGATTATAGCTACACGATATCACACCGTGATTATATGGAGCATGTGTAATAATCAACAGGGCTTCAGATGACAGACATTAACATTTGTCCAGATGCTGGCTTTTCTGTGCTATACGGATGTTTACTTACGCCCACAATTTGGTAAGTAGATTAGTAGTGTGCCAAAAATATTAATGTGAGGCATATTGTGATGCCCAAAAATTCATCTGTATGAATTCGGCATATTATTATGTTTAATAAATGTGTCAGACTTTTAACGGCAAAACATACCATAATGCCACTGACATGTTTACCTTGTTTATCCACAATATCTCCACTATGAAAAGGCTGCTGAACTGTCCCATTCTTCACCACCACTTCAGTGCTTATCGCTTCCATGATTTACCAAAACAGTAGTATGTCACATGCTCTGCTGCCCACATTTAATAAACATAAGGAATTTATATACATTACTAAGTTTTTGGTGTCACGGTATGTCTTTCATTAATATTTTATGGGCATTACTAACCTGCGCCATATAATCAGGATTATATCAGTGTGACATCATGCAGCCCTAGTTTTGATATGAAAATGCCATATGAAACCAGTTTTGAGTTTTTCACGCTGAGACAAATTAATTTTAAAGTAATTCCAGAACTTATGGGTCTTATCATAATTTCCAACAGGACGATTATGAAGGAATCTGGAATGTTGTAGCATTTCTCATGGCGTTCACCTGCTGTCTTTGCCAGGTAAAAAGACGTTTCCCACTTGCATGCATTTTCAGTCAAATCACTGTCAGCGTAAATGTGCAATTTTAATTAGTCTTAAGTCAGATCTTTTAGGTTAATACCATTTACAAAAAAAAAAACTAAAAAACATTACAATGATTTTCAGAAATATATTTTTATAAAAATATGTCACAGTAATCTATACAGATTTTCTCCTTAACATTTTTTTCAACTCATTGAGGTTAATCGAACCAAAAATTCTTAAGTCACAAAGTCTAAGTAGAATCAAAGTCAGGAAAGCCTAAAGAGAGTGACTGTCTTCCCTATACCCCCAGTGCTACCTTTACTTATTCCACACATCACTGAAGAAGCCGAAGACATTTTCCCTGCTGACGCTAATCATTCTATGCAACATATATCTGTACGGCCTGAGGAATGTCTGGCAGCTGATCTTCCACATAGCGGTGGGGGCCCTTTCCACCTATCTCACCCTGTCAAGGGGACTCCTCGATAGGGTGGTGGACTGCGGAGTCTGATGCAGAACGCTGCGATCACAGTCACACCAAGCTGGACACATGCCTCGGGCAGGAAGCGGTATCGCAACATCGCAACATTTTTTTATATTTCTATATTTTTAACTGCCAAATTATGTCAAGAAGAAGAAGAAGCCCATTCTGTATGTATGTATTAGAAAAGAGTAAATTCAACTTAAAGATTTTATGTGGTTTTCTGGGCATTTAGGGATACATTAGAAAATACACATGATTTTATCTTATTTATTAGTCTTGTTTAAAGCTCCTTTTAAGGTTAATATAAATCTAAAAGTTTAAGTAGTGTGCCACTGTATATATTCACTGTGTGTGTGGTGGTGCTTTTCCATTGCCATATAGAAACCGAGCCGGACCCAAGTCATACAGTGGAGAGAGACTAGTTACAGCACAGTTCCAGCTCACTGTGGATTTCCATTGCAGATGAATCAATCTGGTATAGGCATTGGCAGGTTTGGAGAGTTATGGCAATGTAAAACCGAATAGATGCTTTATTGTTCATACAGTATACGTCATGATTTACTATGTGCTAATTTCTGCTAGCAAGTCTGTGAGAATCCTCATCTTTTTTTTTTTAGAATTGCCATGTTAGGTTAGCATCAAATGCTAACATAATTAGCATTTGTTTGCGTAAATTTGCATTACAAATCCATTCCTTTGAGCGGTTTGGTAGTACTTTATAAGTAGGTTGTGGAAGATTTTCAAGTTCCTGGTTATCGGGAATGCATTAATACTTGGCAATGTGCGATGCTACTAATAATGAATAATATATAGAATATGACGTTTTTCCTTTAGATAATCTATGGATATCGACACAATACCAATAATTTTGCATTTTGACCAATCAGATGGTGGTGACACAACCAGGTCAGTTTGGTCACATTTACGGCACAGGTACGGCTTGGATAACCTACAAAGAAAAACCATCAGTTCGCAGTACGGCTCGGTTCTTGGTGGCAGTGGAAAAACCCCGTAAGTGTCTGTCCTACCAATGAAGGGATTTTGCCCCCTACAGGAATAGTTCAAATTTTCCTTTGTATGGAGTCATAGCAGGCAATAGGGGGAGAATTTCAAAAATGAAGTCCTTGAAATTGTGGGTGAAATGGGACAAATGATTGTTAATGTGGTCATGTTCAAGAGAGAAATTTTCAAGAATGTTCTAGAAAGTTCTAGAGCAGAGGCATTCAAACTGTGGGGTGTAGGTGAGGGAACAAAACTGTGTGGGGGTTTGAGGTAGGGGCAGACCTGTTTCAGAGATTGCAGCCTTTGGAAGTATTAAAAACGTGAACACATTATACGCCACTAAACAACAGCAAATTAAAATAATTCAATTTTAGATTGTATATCAGCCCTAGGGAGGCCTTGTCAAAGAAAGTTTGAATTTCACTGTTTGACACAAGGCAATTGTTTGTACAGAAGCTCTGCATTTATGACTAAAAGACTGGCTGCTAATGTGTCAGAGGTCTACTTCAAATGTGGGACAGAGGTACAATGTAGCAGGGTGGAGGTGGGGGGGTTGAAACTAAATAAGGTTGACTCATTAACTGACTAAAAACACTGGAAAAACTAACCAAAAATCCTTTACAACTTAAAAAACAACCAAAAACACATCCTGGAGGGAGCACAGTACAGAATTACCCTCCTGAATTTGCCTGGCTGTCACTATAAAACCCTAAAAAGACAATTAGCCCAATTAGGGCCATCTGGGCTTCATTAAAGTGTGGGCCTTTGATCGTTTGCCATGGCAAATCTAACCTGTGTCGTTGGTGCACGACCTGCTTGCTTACATTTTATTTTAAATATTTAAAATGTATCCTTTTCTTCTTAAACTGCACACATCAATTGTTCTAATCTTAAAAATCCATTTTGGCACAAAGGAATACTTGTAAAAATTCTTTAACAAATTGAACAGATGTCATCTTTAATTGATTTAACATATTTCCATAGTTTATTTTCACTATTTTACTCATTTAAAGCAAACCAAAATTTCATACTCCTTTGTGCCTGTGTACAGACATTAGTTGAACCCTCTGCAATTGAACTGCAGACTGGCAGAATGTATGATAAACAAGTGTGTCGATGAATGGTTTCATTTACCATTGCATATACAGTGCTGTCTGAAAGTCTTAGGTAGTCAAAGAAAATGTTAAAGCCATTTTTCTGTGTAGCAAGTGTACACTTGCTCAAACAATACTATTTAACAAGAGAATATATGCAAATGAACAGTAACACAATAAAAAATGGACAATTCTTCTTTTCTCCGAAACATTACTGATATCGTGTTGGACAGCTAGATGAACGCCACTTCAGTTCCCAAACCTCTCCTCTGGAGCACCGTAGCCATTCCATATATTAATTCATTTTAACCATCAGCTCAATAAATTCATCATTCAACTAATAATATGTTGATAACAGGATTAGCCAAACAATGTGTTCTAGTGCTTGAGTCAAAAAATATATTGGTGTATAGGATGGTTGTTGTAAGGGCTCTGGTGATTTTAGGAGAGACATCATGGTTCTACACCAACATACAGATTATTTTCTTTGCCTGCTTGAGGCTTTTGCACAGCACTACAGTATATGTTTCGTGGAATTATACTATTTTTTCATTGAACTGATCTGTGGATGGATATTTCACTTTTCCCCATACAATTTTTAGAAACAAAATAATGTCTTAGGTGTTAGTCGCTGTGTTACAGTGTAAATTCCAGTACTCGGGGAGGTATATCACAGCATCATCATAAACTGTGGTAGTAAGTAAAAGGTAATGGAAACAAATGAATGAATAAGCATGGTTTTTGGTACATATTTTGGTGAGTATATACATTATATACAGTATATACATTTTGAAGATTTTGGTGTTACATTTGACAAGCATAAATGAAATAGCATTGCTTCTGATCTTTTAACAACCACCAACTTGGTTTGTTAATACCAAGTCATTCTTATTTAATAGATATCCAGCATTGTGAACAAAATAAATCGGCACCCCCAGATAAGTTAGTTGTGTAATTTAGAGGGATTTAGAGGAACTTCATCCAGGCATTGTACACATTTTTGTTATATAATTGATGATGTCATCAAAAGTAATACTGAATGTGAGCATAGGCAATGATAAATCTGTTTAAAACATTGTGTCTGATACATTGGTACAGTCGATTTAAATTGTCAAATTGTAAAAAGAAATAGTTTGGATGCCTGTGAAGAAATTTACATGATATCTTATGTAATGTAGATTTAGATTTGTGTGTTTCATACTTGGACAAGAATGTATGCATTTTTTATTGATCCTGAACCAAGAAAATCTATGTGAAATTCAAGGGCTTTATTTGTATGAAATGGATTAAAAATCTGTATATTTTTTCAGGATAATCAGTGAATCGAGTTGTTACAACATTGAAAACCATTGTTTACACACACGGTGTGTGTACAAGTTTTGTGTACATTATTGAATTGAGGGGAAAAAATCTAAACTACAGCCGAACTCTCCAGCCCTGGGAAAATCCAGCTCATGTGGTTGTGTTGATTGTATGGAGGTTTTTTTTTTTTCCTACCGAAGGTTTTTAGATGGTAATCTGTGTAAACTTGCACTATTGACAGTTATATAATAAAAAATCACGTAAATAATGTATCTCATTGACTGCAAAGCAAACTGATTAATAGTTGTGTTGAGTCACTGATGTGGCTAGCTGATGCAATGTAATGTTTTTTGCTTACCCTATTTAAGAAATAAATTCCGGGTTTAATGTATATCTAGATTCAAATGCTGATTTGACTGCAGCTCTTGTGGGCCAGATGTCTGAAGCGCCTGACCTATGATCTCCAAAAGCAACTTAAAGGTTGCTTAAATTCAGAGCCGTAGCTACGCTGGTTAAAATAAGTAGGCATGTGTGTGTCTATCTCACTTACTGCATCAACATTATGTTCATGTTGCCGTCTCTCACCATCTCTCTGCTGAGTCACAGTGCTGTGCTCTGCTTATCTGCCAAGCTGCTTAGCTACGTTACAGCACATTTGTTTGGTTGTACTTTGTTAAACTGTGCACAAACTTGTTTGTAATTGTCAAACTGATGCAGACACCTGTACTTGGAGCTTTAATGTTGATATGAAATAAAACATCTTTTTGATACTATAAGTAGAGTTTGTGTTTTCATTTCGGGCACTCGATTCACTTTCATTTACTGTAACCGATACAGCCTGAATCACTGTAATCAAGCATACAGGAAATTGTATAACATATTGAAGACTTTTACATCACAGATGATGCAATTTCCAAGGAAGAAGCCCTTCATTAATGAGAAAAAGAAGATCAATCTGCACACACAGACACATGCCCATAAACTGAGAATTAAGTGAAACAAAAAATTGTGTTGTGGTCTCTTAATTTTTTCCGCAGCTGTACTTTGAAAGAGCATAGATAACACCTGATACAGTCTAGGTCTATTTTTTCTGTTCTGTTAGGTTTCCTTGTTTTGGTTAAACTGTCAGCAATTAACAGCTCATCGTGATATAAATAGATGTTTGTTTACTGTCTGCACGCTGTTCACTCACATTCACAATGTAAATAATTGCCAAATCACCCTGAAAAAATGGGCCAATTAACAAAAGCATATTGATCAATGGGAATCAATTCCTCATTTGGGAAATTAAAGAACAGCATGACAATGTCACGGCTCAAATAACTTAAAACTGAGTACCTGCGACTCTATATCAATGTACCCTCTGCGACTCTATATCAATGTTACTTTCCAGTGTCAGCTCAACAACTAAAAGTGAAAGTTAAGCATAAATTAATTGCAGAGCATCAGTTTATACAGGATTTATTTAGGCTGATATAATTTACACATTTACACAAAAATAAAGAAATCAATAGGCCCAATATTGCAGTTGGAAGCCATGGTACAATTTCTCTAAGACTAAAGCTATTCGCTCGTCTAAATCAATTGGGGTCCCAAGTCTCTGAAAAGATGGGATGACAAGCGTGGGAACCCATGTTCTAAATCAGGGGTCTCAAATTCCAGCCCTGGAGGGCTGGAGCCCTGCACAGTTTTTGGTGTACCCTCATTAAAAACACCTGATTCAACTACTTACCTATTTACCACACAGCTCTTGAGTTGAATCACTTCTGTTGGAACAGGGAAAAAACTAAGATAGACAGAGCTCCAGCCCTCCAGGGCCCAGTTGTTCAAACAATTTAATCCAGATCAAAGTAATCTGGATTTTGAAATCCCATGTTTTGCTATCCAGGATTTGGTAATCCATTTTACTTCTATGTAGGTTTTTCAAAGCAACACTGGATTGAAGCACTGTTATCCAAATACAGAATTTTCAGGATTACCAAATTCGGTTTACTAGTGCATTAAATGAAACCAACAGTGTAGCCTACTGGCTATGTCAAGAACAACAGGTAGACCTAAAATACCAGTGGCCAAAAAAGTCATTATGTGTTTTAATTTGAACAAACATAAAACACCACAATAAACCACAGCAACCTCCAATGCTCTCTCAAAATGAGGGACAGACTGGACTTGTGGTCAGGGATGCAATTGTAAGATATTACTTCTGACTGTTGAATTGAGTAATAGTAATTATTGTCATTTTCATTAAAATACAATGGACAGTAGAGCTTTTTGTTTTGAGCTTTGAGATTTTGTTTGAGTACACATATCTCACAGGGATTTCTTTCCCTTGACAATACCGAAAGGCTTCATGTCTTATTTCCTACTTAATTTTCACTGCCACTGTCCTAGTTCAACAATTGTACAAATTATAAATAAAATCCTTATTTTTTGGATCAAATGTATCCCAATTCAAGCACAAACTTTTGAACAACACAAAGTGAAGGTTTGATCCAGATTAAACACGAGACTGGATTGGGTGATCTGATCTGATTTCAGAATCCCTCTTTTCCCTTTGAACAACCTGTTTTCAAGATTCAATCCAATCCGTTTTCTGAAATCCCACTGGATTACTTTTGAACAAGTGGGGCCAGGACTGCAGTTTGAGAACCCTGTTCTAAATCATTGTGAGGCTCTTATGATACACATCTTGCCACTTGGGGGAGCCAAAATCAAGCAAGAAACGAATTATTGGGATTTGTATCCATTTATCCAGTATTGGGTTATGAAGGAAGTTGCATATTAACAGCAGTGGATAGTTCAGGTCCAGAAAGTAAAAATCCGAACCAAGATTTTGCTTCAACCAATCAGTTGCATTCTCTGTACCTGTGACTTTTTGTACTCAGCTGGTTGGTTGAAACTAAATTTTGTTCTGGAGTTTTACTTTTTGGATCTGAACTATCTACTTCTGCATAACCGTGTATCTTCATATTAAACTGCAATACAACAATGCAAACAAAAGTCAACAGATCAATACTAATTACTTTATCTCATGTCCATAAATCCAGAATTATAAGCAGCGTTTGAAACAAGTAACTCAATATTCTTATGCCACTTTATATGCAGTGGTTTTGGGCTATAAAGAGCACTCTTGAAGGCCTTAGATAAGTGATGGGAGCGGAGAGATGTGTGTAGGGGGGCTGTTCAAAGAGCCAAGTCCCTGCTGGAGCACCCCGGTGTGCAGGCTGTCTGGCTGTATCACTGGCATCTCCGTCACCACCTGTCCCTGGTCTGGCTTCCCTGTCATCAGTGGTTTGGCATGGATTGCGTTATGCTAATATGAGCTTAGCCTTTATAACGTGGAACAAAAAGGAACTGGAATCCAGCTGCTATGAAAAACATGACAATCACACCTGATACAAAGAGAGCAAAGAGAGATGGATAAGCAGAAATGATAAGATAAATCTCTAGGGCATTCGAAAACTTGGGTTTTTAAAGGTTATATTTAAATTAACTTTAATCTTAAAAATGGCTGTGTTCTTTTTCATGAAACATTGTTAATTTGTTTTTGCCTGCTTTGCAAAATATTTAGTAACTGTTTTGTATCCAGTTGATTAGTGACATGCACCTATTTGATTCAGCATTCGGACCAGGGTTCGATGCCCTGTGTCGTGACACATCACTCCCATGATCATCTTCAAAGTTATCTGCCATCTGTGCTGCAATAGCCCTTTTGTTGGTTCATACCAGATGGAATAACTTTCTTTCACATCCCCCGTCGACGAGTCCTGGCTGCCCAACATCCTTTGCTGGTTGTTCCCTCGGTGAACCACTCTCAGTAGGTGCTCACCATGGCTGAGGCTGACCGCGAGCACCCCTAAACCTGGCCGTTTCAGAGATGATCTCACACAATCTCCTGGCCATAACGGTTTGGCCCTTGTCAAAGTCACTCAGATCTTCATGTTTGCCCACTTCTTCTGCATTCAACATGTTGACTACAAGTACCAAATATTAGCTTACTGTCTAAAATGTCCCAGACCTTGACACAAACAATGTTTACAAGATACTCAACATTATTTACTTCATGTGGGGGTGGTCATAATGTTTTGGATATATACTTATATCAAAGATCCATTTATTGGTATGAGTATGAGAGTGTAATTTAGAGGCATGGGACATAGTTAAGCTAATTTATAAAACACTTCCTTCTGCATGCAAGTAAGGGGCTGTTTCTCCAGCTGGAATGATACCTCAATAGAATGGCTGGAGTGATGTAGCAAACAGTGAAACCAGAAAAACCACCAGATGTATCAGCTACTGGAGCGCAGCAGACCGTAACGTTGACAGTGCAGGTGAGCTTTATTTGCGGGGACGCTGTCCCTTTCGGTCTGCAGTGTTCACAGAAATGCATGCCGATTATTCATGCTGGGCTTCTGAACCATTGCCTGAAACACGAGCAAAGCCCCAAATCTCCCCACCTTTTAATTATCATCTCTAATCCCCTCTCCACTTACTCAGTATTATTCTTAAGTATTTGTTTATAAATATAGTAATGAATTTCCTTTTTACTCAACTCATTGATAGGATAATGAGTGTGTGGATCTTGTGTCAAATGTGTGTGTCACGTGACCATATTAAACCATTTTATTAGATTGCACCATGGAGTAATTGTTCCATTCTCCTTTCCATAAGAATTTAACACAGCAACTATACTTGAAGCTTTTCACTTGTCTTTCCTGAAGCTGTTGTTGTCACTTGGTATATCTTTGTGAAGACATTACTATTTCCTATGCCTAGAAGGAGAGAAATTGATAGTATTGTGTACTAGAATCAGCTGTAACAGACTCAAATGATTCATTGGTTAACAATACTACCATATAGAAAAATGACGGAAAACGTAATACTTTTGCACATAACAGCAACTCTATTTGTTTAGCAGACACCTTCGTCCAAAGTGACATATTGGTTGAATGCTAGCTATCTCAGGCTAAAGGTCTAAAGAATGAGAATTGGAATTCCTTGTGCATCAGTTACAAAAACTGCAAAATTATGTTGTGTTTCAATGGCAAAAATTATGACATCATGTCAAACATGGACAGACAGGAACAGTGGTTGTGAATGGAAACTGACTGACAGGGATTAAAAAAACACTTTTAATAGGATAGTAGCTTAACATCACTACAGAATTAAAATGTACCTCTGTGATTCAGCCTTAAGGAAAACTCCAGATCCCCAGCTTCACAACTGTTTTGCAAACCATATGCAAAGTTGCTCAATAGCGCCACCTACTGGAGGACGCAAGTTGTGAGTTCTACTCTTCTTCTGACTGAATCTGAGGCATTGACTCACAGTTCTATGAATCTCCATCAACATTGACTCCATTGACTAAAGGCTATAATCAGGGACACTTGTTACATGATGTCCTTGATCAGCAGTTTAATCATGTGGTAAAACTGATGGCAAACGTATGAGTTTTCCCACATGTTTACCATCAGTTTTACCGTATGATTAAACTGGATCAAAGTGGTTCTACTGCAATGGACATGATCATGCGTGGCAGAAAAAACTTAAATAATGTTCTGTTATTCTTTGGCAAGATGTCAGGCAAAGGCTGTACAGTAGCTATGAACAAGCATCTAAAATTCATCCATCCATAAGCACATAACGACACAACAATGTGCATGTACTGCATAGGACAATAATCTCGACTGGGGGGCTTCTGAGCCGCAGGTATTAAGCCCCCTCAATTCAGGACACATAACGAAAAAAATAAAAGACTAGTTAAATCTATTAA